CAATGTTCCCGCGTCCGTGTAGTTGGCACCTCGCTTGTGGTAGGCCGCCCGCCTCAGCCCCATGATGTAGTGCCGCCGCTGCAGGATCAGGCAGCGGATGATGCGCTCAAGGCCGTTGCAGATGAAGTAGCCCCCCATCTCGTTGGCCTCCTCACGACACGCCACCAGCTCACCCCGGGTCAGGCCGTTCAGCCAGCAGGCGCGAGAGCGAACCATGATGGGCATGCCGCCAAGCCTTTTAGGGTTAAACATGTTGCGGGTTGGGTGAGTTGGTGGGGGGGTTGGGGGTTGAGTGCCGGGGGTTTGGGGGGTGAGGGTTGGGGAACCTGGGCGAAAAAGTGCGAAACGTCCCGGCAGGATTGACACGGAATGGTTGGGAGGCAAGCGGATAGGAAAGTTATGTGAGAAGCAAACAATAAACTGTCTGGGGAGGTGTTGAAATCAGCAATACCCAAAACACCACCACGACCACCATCACCACCTCCCCAGCCTCCCCTCCGAAAGCAATATCACATTTTCAGGTCGGCAGCGAAGGAAACCCGGAGAGGGGGGGGGTAATCCGAACCACTGGCGAGTGAAGCAGATCATCCGGGGGTTGGGGGACTGTTAGGGCGGGACATCCGCCGCGGACGCAGGTAGATGACCAGGTACATGACAAGACGGTTCCGATAGATCCGACCAGGGCACGTGAATGAAACCGTAGTGAGGTGTTGCGCGGCGCGGCATCAACGGCTGCTGCTTCTGATACTGCTACTGCTGCCATCCGTGCAGTGCACTCACTTCCTCTCCACCGTATACTCCATTCCGTCCCCACTCTGCCAGTTGAAGGTGGCGACCAGATTGCCCTTGTAGGTGGTACCCTGGGGGGTTTTGAGGAGATGTGATGTGCGAGTGTGTGTGTGTGTGGGGGGGGTGAGGTGCGTGTGTGTGGTTGTGTGGGTGGAGGAGGAGAGTAAGACCGGATTGAAGTGTGGGTTCAGGTGGGTAGCGGGTATGTGTGCGTGTGGAGCGCAGGGGGGCATGTGTGGTGTGCATGTGTGCGTTTGTCGGGAGGGCGGAAGAGATAATGCTGCCACGTCATCCCCTGCCACAGTAACGGCGGGAAGATCCTATGCTCTTACCAGCCCCCCGGGACAAACACCTTTTGCCACTGATATAATGACGCATACAATCATCCTCCATACATACACATAGACCCCCCCTTCCCCCCTCCCCCTCAGGTGAGGCCGTCACACCCTTCAGCTCGCTGTGTACTCAGCAATGGTCTGTCTGTCTGTCTGTCCATATCCAGAACCGGCCTGCTGCCGAGCTGCAGCTCTGTCCCCGCCTCCACCTCCTTCCCCCCTCTTACTCCCGACCCCACCCGCCCACATGTCCCTTTCCCCATCCCTCCGATTCGCCCGCAAGCCCGCAGAGCCCTCTGAGGCTGGCTGGCAGGCAGCTTTTCCCATGTCGGAAAGCCCCTTCCAGGCCACAAATCACCCAAGACTTTCTTCCCTTCCAGCCAGCAACCTAGACAGCCTACGGAAGTGTCAGGTGGCGTAGGAGTCCCACTAGTAGCTCCCCTACCCTGACAAGGGGAACATAATAAGGGGAACAGAAGCCCTTCGCCCCTCCTGCCCTCGACGTGTGACACCCGGCCTCAACAATGCCATTCGTTCCTCCCTCCTGAGGTATTTCATCGCCCAGCATCCCTTCCTTCATTGCGCCATCCCATCCCATCCCGTCCTAATCAAGCCATTCAACACTTGTTTTGCTGCACTACCTGTACCACCGGAGAACCAGGGCCTTGTCCCCAAGACCGCTCTTCGTGTCGTGTAAAAGAAAACCCAAAACCCAAATGCCCGTGAGTGAGTCCTCCTCCCCAGATATAACCCTTTTCCCCCACGCACCCCCTCCCTGCAGTCCCGCGGCAGCAATCTCCGCGACCTCTTGAGTCCCTCCTCTCGAACAGGCCGCTCCACACGCACATCCGTCCACCACATCCGCATCGTGCGACCCGTCCCAGGGTGGGTTACCTGTCGAGGAGGGCAGGGCAAGAGGGGGGAAAGGGGTTAAGAGGGGGGTAAGAGGGACCAGAGGAAGGGGGGTTTAGGAAGGGAAACAACCGAACAAGACGTGACCCAAATGAAATATGAATGGGTGAGGGGGGCGGTTCCGGAGGAAAGGGTTCCGGCGGAAAAACGGGCGGCCCAGGGGCCGGAAGGCCTAGTTCCGTTGTACGAGGGTTTGGGTGGGGCAGGGCAGCAGGAGTACTTGGGACGCGGAAGGGAAAGATAGCAGGATAAAGCAGTATTAGACGCCTAGGAGGCGGTAGTTGGCGTTGCGGTGTGTTGAAAACCTCTAGCCAGCGGTTAGCGGACTTCCCTACCAGGGTAAACTTTGTTTCTGCCCATATAGGTCCCACCTCATAGGATTTGAGGTTCTCCATTACATGATCGATGCCCTCCGATATGAAGTAATTGTATGATTCCACGTGCGGTTCCACGAGGCGATGGTACTCATCCATGACTGGCTGGTTGTAGCCTTGGACTTGTGTCGACTTTAGCCTTTGATACCGGGGATCCTCTGTGTTCAGGGGCCCTTGACGGGGGTTCCCCGCCGCCTGCCCCTGACTAGGAACGTCCATGTCGTGGGATGCCGGCGGCGGCGTTGTTCTGGCGCTGCTTGAGCTCAATAAGGCATGCGGTAGCTAATGATTACTACAAGTCAGGGAACCCGCAATTCGCCCTTGGATATCTCACAGCTGACAGGTCAAGTAAACTAGGGCGTCAAGCAATTTGTCGAAATCCCCGACATCTAACAAGTTTGACGTGAACCATGGACGGTTGAAATGCTTCTCGAACATGATGAACACCAAAGTTTATGAACCTAGCCGTTTCAACGAGAGAAGCGGTTGAGCTGTCGTACTGATGTGGAATTTATGCGGAAACGCCCTGCCATGGGCTGAGACACACAGCTTCATCTAAACGAGGAATTGTTGGTGTCTCTACAAGCCAGTATCGACAAGCAGCCTGCATTAATTTTGTTGTAAGTTGGGACTTTAAGTGGACAACTACATCCGTGTGGGGCTTCATCACAACGAATGCAACTCTTCGTAAGGTGTCTAGATGCTCGGTCAAGGGTATGTGACGTGGAGCCCTGTTGCAGCGTGGCAGACTTGAAACGACGCATCGAGGTGCGTGCTTTGCGTAGCCTACTGGAATTTCTTACACCACGGGTATCCGCTGATACATTGCCGGTATAAATGCAGGAAGTGGAAAGTGTGCCTAGCTGCTCGCAAGGACTCGTTTACGCCGGGCGCCAGCTACAAGATGAGCGCAGCCTGGAGTCCTATGGAATTGTTGGCCATAGCACCGTGCACCTCGTGCTTCGGCTACGCGGCGGCAAAGGTGGATTCGGCGCGCTGCTCCGTGGCTTGGGCCGAGACGGCTCGAAAACGACCAACGATGACGCTATGCGGGACCTCCAAGGGCGGCGTTTGCGGCATGCAAATGCAGAGAAAAAAATGAAGGACTGGGAGGCAAAGGCAAAGGAACGCGAGCTGGAGAAGATAGCACTGCAACACATAAAGCAGCAGGAGCGGCAGGCGCGCCGGGATGAGGAGAAAAAGGTACCAGTGCCAGCTGCCCATGTGGTCATGCAGGACGAACTGCCCTGTGTCTGCAGGGGAACATCCAAAGCGGAACAATCTCCACTGTCTGGTTGGGAGGTCCCTACACACGCTTTTAAGAAAGTTACCCACTATCTGTATTGGGTTACTTTGGCCCCACGCCTAACCCAGCGATGCTGTACCCTCTTGCACATGCCGAGAGGTGCCTTCTCCCTGGGTAGCTACGCCACTTTTAAAACCGTAACACCGGCAGTCTCTGCTTGGTACTGAAATGCACTATTCTCTTGACCCATATGACAACCTTGCCTACATCATTTAACACAACTTCCTCTACAACCCCACGCCGTGGGCCTGCACTTCATTCCGTTCCTCTGCGTCACCTTCCCTCCCCAATGGCGTTCCGAAAACCCGTCCATTCATGTACAGGTGGAGGTGGAGAGCATCGTCGCCGCCCAGAAGGCGGCAGTGGCAGGTGTACAGGATGCCGTGCAAAGTGCCCTGGCGGAGGCCAAGATGGCCGCCGGCAGCTCCAACGGCAGCGGCGCCGCTGCCGGGAGCAACAGCAGCGCCCGGGTGCCTCCGGGCAAGCGTACCGCGGCGGCAGCGACCAATGCTGCGCCGCCAGCACGGGGCCCCGTGCCCGCCGCGAAACGCTCCCGCATGCTGGCGGCAGTGGAGGCATTTGGTGAAGGCGAGAGCGAATCATCGTCCGACGATGACGACGAGTAGTAGAAGAAAAATAGACGAGCCAGTGCTGGGCCGTAAACTGCTACGGGAAGTCCATTCCACTTCTGCGATATGCATTGACGTTACATACAATCACGTCTGATTCTATCGGATCTTATGGAGCTCTGGACTCGACAATTCTGATGACGGCAAAAGTGTCAGATAAATGTACCGCCTGTATCCGCATCGTGTGTATTACCGCCCATATAAACACTGGAGCTGACATGCAATGGCGAGAATTTACGCAAAGGGTTTCACGGTTGTGTGCCTCTGCATGCGGCCCTGTGGGGTCCGTCCATGTCCATGTCCGTGTCGACCGACTACCTTACATGACCAGATGCGCGCTGGGTGACTCCCCTTAAAGAGTTTCAGAGGAGGCGGCTCCTAGCCACTGATCGAGTCCACTCAAACAGGGGCCGGCTCTGCTGGGTTGGTCTAGGGATACCCGGCCGCGTGTGAGGACTTGTTGGCAGGGGTATGGAGCTGGAGATCTCCCGCTATCGTAGCGGGGGATGGAGTGTAGGGCAGCGGGGAAAACGTCCGTGCGTTCACAGGTATTGCTGCGCTGATGCTTTCGAGCTCCAGAGGCCTGCAGGCATTGCTATTGGAGACTGCTGCATGATGGGGTGTAACTGCTGGTTTTGCCGGGTCCCAAGGACGGCTGCCTACTTGGCGTGGCAACGATTCGGTTAAGATGCCTGGCTGTTGCCTTGGTAGCTGCGCCGATGCCGCTGATGACGCGCTGATGATGATGGTAATGATGATGATGATGATGATGATGATGATGATAGTGGTGGTGGTGGTGATGAGGTTGACAGGGGCACCTTACGGAGTCAGCGGAAGCCCTTCTCTCCGCGTAACTGTGCTGAGTACGTATGTAAAGGGCTGATGTATATAAGGGCATTTGGAAGGTTCTGTCTCATGTATGCCTTGTGCGCGTCTTGTCTATCACATGATGCTCTGACTGGCCCTGCTCTGGTGGTGCTGCTGCCTCCAGCTGTGGCAGCACCTCCCCCAGCAGGGGCACCAGCTGTGGGACGCCGTGCAGGACCGAGTAGGCGACACCCAGGTCATCGTTCACCAGCTTCCCCGTTTGGATGTCATACCTGTAGAGGGCATGAACGGTCAGTGACCAGCGGGCATAGAGGTAGGGATGGCAGCGGAAAGGTCGAGTTCCTTGGTACTACATCACGGATACAGCTCAAAGAAGGGCAGTGACGCGCCTGAGAGGTGTCTTCGTCAGGGGGCATGCGATGAATGGCAGTAGGTCTTCAATGTCCTGGGTAGCCGCTTCGCCTGTGGTGTTAAGAGGGGAAAAGCAAGTGATGTGGTGGTAGTTGATATTTCTGACAAAGGAGGTGACCGGAACTAAATACTGGCAAGACGGCTGGTGGTTGTGCAGGAAGACTGCATACGGCGCCTTACTCACAGCATAGCCCAGATGTTGTAATCTTTCAACAGCTTCCCTCCTCTTACCGCGACTTTCATGTTGATGCGATTCCGGGGTTCCTGCTCCATCGTTTTGGATTGCTGAAGTGTTAATCAAAGATGCGGAATCGAGTCTCGCGGCAACTGTCGTGCGTGTTGCAAGCGTTAAACCATAGCGCCTCAACATGTTTGGATTAAAAAGCAATGATCGTTCAAGCTTTGTCTTGCTGAGGACTCTGTTCCTTGACGCTGGGCTGTCATGTTGTTGGCCTGCTCGTTCTATTGGTACGGAAAATACTGAGACATCCTCGATGTAAATCGCATGAATTTATCGGCATGAGGCGCGAAGATTATTCGTCTCCTAGAGGATGTTAGCGTTACGTGCTATTTTGCTTGGCTGTCAGGCTAAGGCCCATGCGCAAGGTGGAGTGCTCGCAGCAGCCGCACGGGGTGCTGTCCTGTGCCTCCACACGGGCCCCCTATTGCGGAGCGAAGAAAACTCTCATGTCCCCGGGCTTGGCGAAGCATTACCACACCTGACTCGCACCGGATGCATCTACTTGGACTACAATGCCACCACACCCATTTTCCCCGAGGCGCGTCTTCCAATTTGTGTGGAGGGAACGGAATTATTGGCCGTCTACGATTGCAATATTTGCGACGGGGCCTGCTTGTGCATACGGAAAGGAGGAGGGGTTAAGGCACGGCGGGGGGAAAAGTCATGCGTGCCAAGGGCAACCCCGCGGGGCATTTGCTGTTACCAGCGCTTACAATGTCAAATGATCTGTCATGGTATTCCAGGTCGGGCTTATCGCACTTACTGCCTGCCCGCATTCTCCCTCGCCCCGACTTCCCTGGCTGATCCTGCGTCCGCCCCGGCGCCTGCCGCACACAACGCACACCACGCACAACACTTCACGCAGGTGGCCGCGGAAATGGCGCCCTTCCTGTTCGAGCACTTCGGGTGAGACCCGGGTGTTTATGTCCTTGCTGCAGCGAATAATTTGTGGCGGATGGTGTTCATTCTCTCTTCTGTCCGGGCCACAGCTTGGCGATGGCCTGGCTGTAGAGGGCCAGGCGGCCCCCTTGCCCCTCTGTGCCGGCAAGGCGGCTCGGCAGCAGTCACGGCCCCAGCATCTCTCCTCTCACCGCACGGGCTGCCTGTTAACTAACACACGCCTGCCTGCCAAGGACACACGCATGTGCCATTACACAACGCACATCCGTACATATGGCCGGCTTAATGTGTCGTACAAAATCGCAGTTGTTACCGGGAGAGCACGTGCAGAGAAGGCCACACAAGTACAACACAATCAGAGTTAATGACTTTAATGCTGCATCTTCAGAGTTTTCCACAAGCATCGGATAGTTTTGCACACGGCCATCGAAACATGGGCCTTGTTTAGTGAGTACTGGTCGTGTGATGATCACCCCCCTGGCCCCCTCAAACCCCTCTTCGGATGACCGCCTGACCCCGCAGTAATCCCAGCAGCGGCCATACATACGGCAAGATGGTGAGTTACGACAGTCCGAAAGTACTCCTTCCGGGCGCATGCGTGCCGTAGCGTGCTAGATGTCATAAATCCAGTAGCTGCCCGATGTAGACGTGTTCTTGCCACTTTCCGTGGACACTGCACACGGGCTCGTCGCCGCATGGCACGTATTGTACAAGTTAGCAAATGCGTTTCCCTACTCCCGTTTCGAATTGTTGCCTGTGTGCTAATTTGTGTATTGTCCTGTATACTCCACCGTTCACCGACTCCTCCGAGCGCGTTAACGTAAGTCTATTCATAAGGTGTGATCAGCTCCCCCCCTTTTTTCACCAGTGCAAAGCCGCTCTGGACAGGGCTCGAACTCGGGTGGCACAACTGCTCGGTGCATCAGATCCTCAGGAGGTACGGCACGGGGGGGGCAGCGGCATGGGGGTGTGGATGGCGGGACAGTTCATGCCTAACCCTGGCTACTTTTAGCCAATCACCACCACCATGTATCACCACCACAACCACCTGTATGCTGCTTTAGTTGATATACTGTTGCTAAACTAGCTACCGCTGCTTTACAGGTCCACTTTACGTCGTGTGGTACGGAATCCGACAACTGGGCCATCTACGGGGCCGTCATGGCGGCGAGGAGGGCGCAGCTCCCCCAGTCGCAGTCGCAGTCCCAGTCTCCCCAACGCGCTCCTCCTCCTGCCCTCCTCCTGCCCCACGTGGTGACCACCGCCATAGAGCACCCCGCTGTGCTGGGCCATCTGAAGCACCTCCAGGAGCAGGTGTGGGTACGGATGTGGGTATGTATGTATGTATGTATGTATGTATGTATGTATGTATGTATGTATGTATGTATGTATGTATGTATGTATGTATGTATGTATGTATGTATGTATGTATGTATGTATGTATGTATGTATGTATGTATGTATGTATGTATGTATGTTGTTACAGGGTGGTTTAGCTTCACCAGCGGCCCCCTTTCCCTTGGAGGCAGTTCCCTGCTCTCTCCTGCTGTATGTATGTATGTATGTGGGATGCGGATCAGGAAGAGGAGGGGGACCGCGGCGTTTGGTGGCGGTTAACACCGGACCATTTGGTTGGCGGTGGCCGTTGGTGATGGCTGACTGACGGAATGTGTGAAGCTGCCGTACGTTTGCGGTACATGCGCGGGCCCGGGCTTGCTACGCAGGGCCTCTTGTCGTATACAGCCGTACCCGTGGATAGCGAGGGGCTTGTGGACCCGGAGCAAATAGCGGCTGCCGTACAACCCAACACGGCGCTTGTGACGGTCATGCACAGGTACGATAATACTATGCGGGCGGGCAGTTGGGGCATATGCCGTTGAACGGTTGGCGGTTGGCATCCCGGCCGCCGTCTTATTAACCAGGTGGCCGCAGCTGCGTAGCTGTGTAACCAGGTAGGGTCGTTGCGACTTAACCACTCGTCCCAGAAAAAAGCGTTAAACGGTGCAGCGGAAACCAACTGCCAACAGAATCACGTGCGCCAACCTTCCGCCACTTTCTTCGCGCGGCGCAGGTTCCTTGAAACATGTTATCACAAATATATATATTATATTTATTATATATATACAGACTTCAGGACAGTTCCCCAGCTTCTTATCTGTCCGCCCACTTCCCAATTGATCCCCCTCACCGCCACCACCTGACAACGCCAACACTCCCCCGGGCCACATCCCACGTGTGTGTGTGTGTGTGTGTGTGTGTTGGTGTGTGCGTGTTGGTGCGTGTTGGTGTGTGTGTGTTGGTGTGTGGCCATCACGGAACGCAGCAGCCACCGTCCGGAGGGGGTGCGTCCGTCCGCACCCCCGAACCGCCACCACCACCACCGCGCAATCGCACGACACATCTCGTTTTTTGCGATCTTCGCACAAGTCTCCCCTCCCCCCCCCATCACGCCACCACCACCACCACCGCCACGCCCTCCCGCAGCAATAATGAAGTGGGCGCCGTACAGCCCATCGCAGAGATTGCAGCTGCTGCGCGACGGGCGCACGCGAGATTCACCTCCTCCACGTCCTCCTCCTCCTCTTCAGGGGGGTGCACGGGCACGAACGGGTTGCTGGTGCACAGTGATGCCGCTCAGAGCACGGGCAAGGTGGAGCTGGATGTACGGACGCTAGGGGTGGATGCGCTCACCATCGTGGGACACAAATTTGGGGCGCCCAAGGGTGTGGCGGCGCTGTACATTAGGTACGTATATCCGTACGTTTATACGACAGCCGTACAGCGCGGTACGAAGGATCCTGTTATATACATATCTCACCTTTGTAACTCGTGGAGCGGTTGGTTTTTTTTGTGTTGGTCTCCCAAGGGAGGGGATGCGTGCTGGGCATTACATTATGCAGCCTTCCCGTTTCCATGTTGGTCTGTTTTTGTCAGTTAGGCTTTACTAGTACAGCACCGGGCCAAAGCCGTGTTTTTCCTTACTTTTTTCTCGGCTCGTAGACGTGGTGTTCATTTGGACAACTACTTCCATGGCGGCGGCCAGGAGGGGGGTCGCCGGGCAGGCACCGAGAACATAATGCAGGTGCGGCTGGCCCGATTACGCTTTTGCACATACATACATACATAGCCATATACTCACCTACGTACATACACACATACACATATACAGACATACACACATACACACATACATACATAGCGATATACTCACCTACGTACATACACACATACACACATACGTACGTACATACCCACCACAGACATGTTGCCTATTAAAACATATTCGCACACAAGCCCCGTGCGCAACACCAGGTGCGCGGCTCCCTCTTCGACGCCGTCGACGTCAAAGACCTCACCCCCAATGACGCCCCAATGAATGGCGAGTCACCCATGACCTCCTTAAAGACGAGCAGCAACTCGCGGCTGCGTCCTGAATTCTCACCCATCACCCTCCTCCTCCTTTTGGTCAGTTCTACTTCTTGTACACTCTTGCCCTGGCAGCACCTTCACTCGTTCACGTGGTTCGTCTTTCCCCCTCCTCCTCAAGTGGCTGTTGTCGTTATTGGTTATTGGTTTTCGGTTTTCGGTTATTTCCGGTACAGGTGGTGGGTCTGGGTGCTGCTGCTGAGCTCGCTCGGAGGGAGGGTCCGCGGTTGCGGCGGCACCTGGGCGACATGGCGGAGCGACTGATGGAGGCATTGCGAGCGGGGTTACGGCCAGAAGACCAGGTGAGCAGTGGAGCTGGATGTCGTATCACGACTACACAGAAAAGTACCGGTCGGCGGATGTCGGATTCCGTGATGATGTGCACCCTTCAGGGTACAACAGCGGGTGTGATATATCAGTGGGTATACCTGGGTTTGGGTCCTGGGGGGGTGTGGGGGGGGCTTTGGAGAGCCCTGGCGGGTTTATGCAGCGATGATTATGAGGCATAATGGGGGGGGGAAAGAGTACCCTCCACCTCCCACCGGGGCGGGGAAAGTGGCAGCTGACGGTTGCTGGCGGGTTTGCCCGTTTGTCGGTCTATTTCTACGTTTGTATATCTGTCTGCCTGCCCTTCTGTCCGTGACCGTGGCCTGTAGGACAAGCTTCGGTTGAATGGTCCCCGCCAGCCCGCCAGTCGGCTACCCAACACGCTCAGCCTCAGCATCCGCGGCCTGAACTCCGCCGTGGCGCTGCAGCGGCTGTCGGGCCAGCTGGCTGCTTCGGCGGGGGCGGCATGCCACTCCGGGGAGGCGGCGTCGGTGTCGGCAGTGCTGAGAGCGATGAGGGTGAGCGGAAGGGGGATATTGCGGCCGCGTACGTTCGTCTGTATGTGCTTCGTATTTGCTGCGTGGCTTTGTTGGCTGTGTGTGTATTTGGGGCCAGGGCCCCCGGACGGAGGGGAAGGCAGGCGGGGAGAGAGGTGACTTTGAGCTACTTGCGGTGGGGGCCATGTAAACGCCAGAAGCGGATATGTGTCCCAAGGCTGAGAGGTAAATTCGCGGTAAATTTGCATGATGACGGTACGTGTGGGGGTGGTAAGGACGCGTAAGGTGAAGGAGTTCGAAGCAGTCGCAGAGGGGGCGGAAAAGGCGATCTGGGTTATGGTAATGTTGCGACCCATGTTGTTCGAAGTCCTTTATTGACGTATTGCATGGAGTGGCAACCTGGCTGTGAGGACTCCTCTCCTGGACTTTGAATGCTGCAGGTTCCTTTTGAGTTTGCTGCAGGCACGTTGCGGCTGTCCACGGGTCGTCATACAACAGCGGAGGAGGTGGACGCCGCGGCGAAGTTGATAGTGCAGGAGGCTCGGAGGCAGGGCGTCCTTGGGTGACAGAGGAGAAATGGGGGAAGTAGTAGGTTGCCCTGTTAATGGAGCGCCTTCTTGGAACTGTTAAAATGTGGACCTAACGTCCGAAGCGTGGGTTTCCGGGTTGGTTTTGGGGAGGGTAGGGACGGAGGTCTGGCACTTAGGTGGTGCGAGCAGGCTTTCCTCGCGCGGAGGGTCCTTGCAAGCTTATGCGTGCAACATTTTGTTTGGAGTTGTGCAGAGTGACAACGCCGTGCAGCCCGTGCTCTGAGAAGTGTGACAGTTGGAGAGCCGTCAACCGTGACTCGAAAGATAAGGATATTACTCTATAAGAAGGCTTGTCTGTTTGTATTGATAATGTGCTGCCAGAGCATATGTTGCGCAAACAATTTATGAAGCAAAACGTCTCCTTGCATCGAGTCCCCGCAAGCGCCAAGTGAAAACTGCTTGAAGATCAAAATCGCCCAGTCTGACTATACCACAACACGAAGCGCGTCACCCGCATCCTGCCGTACGATTCGATGTTGAACAAAACTCGAAAAAGCTCACAATGAGAACATAAAACTCCCACGGATTCTACATCGCATCTATATGTGGGAAATCTAAATTCTTGCAGGGGTTAAGGGGCTTATGTGGAGTTCCTAGCTTTCATTGTTGCGGCAGCGCACGGCAAAAGGTGGCTGGAAGAGAATATCTAGCCCACAGTATGATATGCTAACCGGCATTGGAGGTATTAGAGTGTTTGCTTAAAGCATTGGCCTCCCTCACTCGGCTGTTGTTATTGATTGGTCCCTCAACTGCGCGACGGGCAATCAGCCATGGTCCTTGGAGCTCAGGAAAATGCTGGCGATTTAGACCCGTATGTATCGGCCTCCGAGGCGCAGTCTCTGCCGAGGCCTTCCACCTTTAGCCTCGTCGTTGGTGAGGCTCCGCCGTCGCCCAGTAGCAGCTGTGACGACCTGCAGCGAATCGATACGGATGGCAACACGCGACAGCCTCTCCTGACCGGCTTTAAGGAAAGAGGGGAGCTTACATCCCTGCCGGAGAGTCATGCCACCCTAAGCTTTCCGGACGAAAACGCGCCCTGGTATCGCAAACTCTTTGCTTTTGCTGGTCTCGGATTTCTCATCAGCGTTGGATACATGGTAAGGACACATCATTCTCCTCCTGATGGTGCTGGGTTTGAGGTGCTTTCTGCAGTATGTGTGTACCGCTTAACCTGCATCCACCTTAATTTGATGGAGGGCTCCTGATTCCTGGCGGCCTTTGCGTTCCAGCGCGGTCCCGTATCCGTTCTGCTCGCTGTTGCGCAGTTGCCCATCCACGCACACAATCACCCCCGTATGCCCCCGTAAATTCCACGAACGCATACCATTCCGCGAAAAGCACGTGAGCGCTCCCTACTCCTCCTGCGGACCCCTCCCCTGAGGCTGCCAGTCATAACTCTGCCAGCCGCTGTTGTGCTGTTGCTTCCCATTTCCCCCCGGCTGCAGGACCCTGGGAACTGGGCCACCGATCTGGCTGCGGGCTCGTCCTTCGGCTACACGTTGTTGTTTGTGGTACTGCTGTCGTCAATCTTTGCCATGTTCCTGCAGTACCTCGCGCTAAAGCTGGGTGTGGCATCAGATCGAGACCTGGCGCAGGTGTGCCCAGCGTTATTGTCACTAATTCCACGTGCTCTTTGTGTGTGGGGGGGGAAGGTAATATCGCATCGCATTCCTTACCTGTGCATGTGTAAGGCTCTGATCCATAGTATATACAATATTATACAGTATTCGCCGAAAAAATATTTTTTCATCTAGCTTACAATTCGCTGGCTCTGCGGCTGACCCACTTACTGCCTGTTGAATCTTGAGCCGTTTTAACATATGCCCTCAACTCGCCCTCCTCCTTCTCCCGCCCTCCGCGCTCTATGTAGGCTTGCCGTGACGCCTACCACCCCAGGGTCAACAAGGTGCTGTGGTTTATTGCCGAGCTGGCCATTGCCGCCACCGACCTCGCAGAGGTGGTTGGCTGCGCCATTGCGTTCAACTTGCTGCTGGGGATGCCCCTATGGGCGGGTGTGCTGGTGACGGCAGTGGACGTGTTCGTCATGATGGTGTTTGAGGCGAAGAGCTTCAGGGCGCTGGAGGTGCTGGTGGCGGTGCTGACCGCGCTGATTGCGGTGGGTGGGGGAAGGGTGGAGGGGAGGAAAAGTCTAGGGGTAGGGTGGGAAGTGAAGAACGCAGAAGGGTGGAAGTCTTTGGCGGAGAGTCAGAGATGAGTACACAACGTCCACCCTTCCGTCCTTGAGTCCCTGACCCCCTGGCTGTCTTTACTTTACTTTCCTTACCTCCTTTTTCTGTGTCTTACTGGAAGATCCTGGATGTCCCCTTGGCTCTCTCAGGGCTGCTTCATGTACGAACTCATCAAGGCCAAGCCGAACATGGCCAAGGTGCGTGCGGGTCCCAGATGAAGAGTTGGGGGAGAGATATAATTTGGTGGTGGGGAATATCCTTGATGAGGGTGGGAGAATGTCAGTGGAGGAGGTATAAGGGTTTTGCCGCGCTGCGAGCACCCTACCGCCGAGCATGTTTTTGTTCGGGTCGTAGGGGCTGGGACGGCCCATACGACTCTGTGACTGAGGTCACCACCTGTGATCTGTAGGGACAAGGGCCCCTGTTTCGGTGCTTTGATGCGCTGCTTCACCTGCCTTCCTCTCGCCCTACGCCTCCTTCCCACCCGCTCGCTCACCCACCCACTAACCCCCAACACCCCGATCGCCCTCTTCTCATTCCGCACATCTGCATCCCCCGCGACCTCTGCGCCCCGTGCCCAGGTGATGCAAGGCTACCTGCCCAGCGCTTCCATTGTGTCGAACCGGGAGAAGCTTTACATTGCCACCGGCATTCTCGGCGCTACCGTTATGCCGCACAACCTCTACCTACACTCTTCCGTCATCCAGACAAGGGCCTATCCCCGCAACACGCGCGGCCGCCGGATGGCAGTCCGTCTAGGCGCCCTGGACTCCACTCTATCGCTCTTTCTCGCGTTTATCGTCAACTCAGCGATCCTGATTGTGGCCGGTGCCGCTTTCCATTACGGCAATCCCCCACGTACCGACATTGCCGACATTGCGGATGCTTATGACCTGCTGTCGCATTCTTTGGGCGCTAAGGCGGCCTCGGTTCTTTTTGGTATTGCTTTACTTGCGTCGGGTCAGAACAGCACCATCACCGGAACTCTCAGCGGACAGATTGTCATGGAGGGCTTTTTGAACATCAAGCTGCGGCCGTGGTTGCGGCGGCTGATTACTCGCGGGACAGCGATTGTGCCGGCGGCGATAGTGGCGGCCGTGATGGGCCGTGAAGGCGTTTCCAAGCTTCTGGTTCTGTCGCAGGTACGTGAGGGGTGGGGTTGGGGTTGGGAATGGCGCTGAGAGCGAGCCATTCGGACACCGGTGGCCCTGTGGTTATACCTAGGTTATACTTGGGTAGGTTTATTATACCTCTCGGCCAGTAGTACCAACACGCGAGATGCGTAATCCTAAGTCGCTAAACAGAGACCCCGCGAGGCCAAAGAAGCCAAGTGAGGTCTCGGAGAATGCTCTCTGTGCGTCTCTGGTTTATTATAATCCAGATTATTATTATTATTTATCGTCCAGCCTCCAGTGGTAGATTATTATCGTCCAGACGGTAACGTGAATGCCAACTCGAATCTTTAACGTTGAGGACATCACATGACATCTACCTGCCGCTAGCCTTGTTTGGTGTGGAGACATCATTGTAACTTAAGGACACCCCCCCCCACACACACATACACACGCACACACGGGCTTAAACACTATCCTCCAACCCGGGCGGCGCTCCCCCCATGTGAACCGCAGGTGGTGCTCTCCTTGACGCTGCCCTTCGCTGTCTTTCCGCTGGTGCACTTCACTTCGAGCAAACACTTCATTGGAAAGCACGCCAATGGGTGGGCCGTGTCGGCGCTGGCATGGCTTCTGTTCCTTTTCATTACCGGCCTCAACTTGAACCTCATTGTGCAGTCGGCCATCAGCGGCAGCTTTGCGGACCTCGGCCATTAGGGTGCCAAGATTACGTCATACAGCACAAGAACAAGCCATTTCATCTTTTAGTGAGAGGGAGCTTTGGAGAGAGCGAAGTACAGCAAAGGACAGTTTTTCTTGCTTTTATTTGGCGTGGGTGTTTCTTGCGATCTCGGAGACATCTCGGGTGGCGATTCGCAGCCTGCCACCGCTGACCTTCCTGCTTGAGGTCGCCAAATACTCTCTCACCCCAGCGCCTCTCAATGTGTTTGCTCTCAAGGGGCGTCCGGTCACATCCCGGCAGACGTATCTTTGAGAGTTTCTCTGAATTCAAATTTCGAGGGCTTGAGAGTTCTTGCTGTTGGGATGGCTAGCGGATCCCACCTTCCTCTGCCCACTGCTTCCGCTTTACACCTCAGCATGAATAGCAAAATGTAAAATGTGGAAAGGAAGTCGTCTGGAGCTACCCGACGTTTTAGGGGGAGGGTACGGCGATGTGGAGCTTTACTTAGTCGTCGCAGTATCATGCTGCTACTGTTGATGGTGATCATGGCGGATGGCGCTCGCCCTCAGTGCGCCGGTCGACGTGCCTTTGTGGCGGAGTGGGTTTTGGGAGCCAAGTAAAGCTGGAGTCCCAATTGAACTTTAATGGTTATTTTTTGTTGACGTCCTTGCTCGTGAGCTGTCGCGGAGATCGCTCGTTCGGGAGGTTTGTATTTATTTTAAGTGGGTGGGTTTGTTGTTGCAACTCATTATTGACTCATTTCGGCATTTCCGGGAACTGCGTTTCGCCGGTTGATAGAAGATGGTACTGGCTGGCTGGCGCGGTGCGAATGTTGGCGGACGATACCCGAGGTGCTATTGCCGGCTCCGTTGCTACTGCGGCTACCACTGCTGCAGTGACGTTGCGGCGCTGTAATAGCACTGTCACGCATTATTTTGAGGGAAGGCTCGCCAAGTATGGCAGCGGAAGCATGCTTGTATCATGCAGATTGGGTGTGTATGTGTATTGTGTACGCGTGTGTACGTGCTAATGTGCTAATGTGAAGGGAAGGAGTGAAGGGAAACGAGGGTCCCTGTTGTGGATTTTGGTTGTGCCTCTTTTTTAGGAGTGCGCGTTCTCAGTGGTTTGGTTATATTCTCTTTCGTTTGCCGTGGTTATGTACTACTGCGTCCTCGGAGCATCAGTCGTCGAGCACTATGACGACGGCGATGATAATGATGGTTATGGTGGTGATGATGTGCTCGTAGGATACATTGGCGCGCCGCCACATCTGCGGCAGCTTTGCGCAGCATGATGATGACAGTCTTGACAGAGTCCCATAAAGCAGTAGAAAGGCTTTGGAAGTCTCTTTTGTTCAGGAGAGGCATGAAGTGGGATTGAGGGATGAGCTGCTCGAACTGCCCACATGTCCGGCTTTGATGAGTAGGCCAAGGAAATGCGATTTGGAGGGTCTGGCCCGGCAGGTTATGTCATTCGCAGTGATGTCGTACACTGCATATACGGTTGGCTACAAACTATACAGGGATGTGCCGTCTCAACGCCTCGCTTCGACGTGCGAGGGAATGGATATGGTGTTTCTGAAGTTGAGAAGTCAGGAGGAGCATTTGCATCCTATCCGGCCGTTTTTGCTTTCCTCAGGAGAGTTGCTTCGGCGCTGGTTGGGCAGGAGGGCGGATGCTCCAGGAGCCGGCTTCGTGCGGTGTTGTTGCTTGTGTGGCTGATGGGGGCCGATGTGGAGGCTAAAGGTTTTTGCTTCTAGGAGAGGCAATATGTCGAATTACAACTCACTTATGACCTGAAGAGCACATCTAAGAGAACACATATATACATCGTCTTCACGGTGCAGCGACTTGCTGTGTGTGTTTGTACCTACTGCAGGCGAAGGCGAAAACCTTGTGAGATGTTATGTTGCAGTAAGATTAAGAGCTGGTAATGCAAATGCAGCGGTATAACAGGCGCAGCTGTGCAAGCTTCTAGACCCACATAAAGGTTGCATCACCGCCACCTATATATTATGGTAGCGTACAGCCGTACCTTGTCAAGCGAGAGGACGGCAAGAAGTCACTCGGCACCTGAGCTTACATGTGCCAAAATACACACGTTACCAGAAGTGTGACGTCACCGTATAGCCATACAGTGTCGTAGCCGTACAGCTGCGAATCTGCCTCATAAAAGTTGGATATATGCACCGGGGCAGGTCGGGGTCGGGGTGCGCGTTCCAGCAAAGCTACGTGACCTGCTGAAATGTAGTTTTCACGGTACAAGGACATCTAGACGCCTCTAGGTATCTTTCCTTTTTTCACGTTGCTAAAAGATTTTACATTGATAACCGAAAGAAATCAAATGGCTGGGAACTACGATGGGAGCATCTGACGCAATGCGTCCCGCCGTCGCCGCCATCGCGCCCCCTCGCGGTACTTGCGCACAATGGCGCCACCGCCACTGCTGCCGCCTGCCGACATTACCACATCGGCCGCCGCATCATCGTACGGAATGCCGTACGTGGCGGGATCCAACTGCTCGTCCAGACTGCCCTCCCGCGCGTCATGTACTGTTCCTTGCCGTACCGTCGGACCGCGGCGTGGTGGCCGCCGCCGGGCCGACCGCCGGTCAAGGTCCCCCGCCTCCTCGTCGTCATATTCCTGCCCCTTCTCCTCCACCGCATCCCGGAGGTGGACATCTCTCGCCGTAGCTTCAAGCGGAGGCAAGAGCTCGAAATCGGCCACATCCTCCTCCTCTTCGTCGTCCTCCTCGTCACCCATCGCGTCCTCCTCCCCGCCAAAGTCCCTCTCCGCGCCTGCTCGTCCCCCAACTGCTGTTCCCCCAGCCAGGCCACGAGCCTTCTTCTTGCCCTTCTTCTTCTCCTTCTTCGTCAGCCGCCGCTCCCCCTGCCCCTGCCCCTGTCCCTGTCCCTGCATCGACAAAGGCTGATCAGAAAACAGCGCACTGCCGCCGCCGCTGCTAGTGCTAGAGCTGGCCGTAGCACCGCCGTCGCGCTCCGATACCCCACAAGTGGCATCGTACCCTCCGGCCATAGAGCCTGTAGCAGCACTCGCCGTAGCTGTGCTTCCAAGCACGTCCTCTGCGGAGGGTCCTTCGAAGACCAGCTGCAGCTCCTGGGGTTGAAGGTACCGCCACTCGCCCTCCGGCAGTGACCCAAGGGTCAGTCCACCCACACTGACGCGGTGTAACGCCACCACGTGACTACCCACAGCCGCAAACATTCGCCGAACCTGCAAGTTATGGACATACATAACACGGGCATGGGTGTACGGGAAAAATCACGAAAAAATCTCCATTGTGAATTTCCCATCCATAATTTACACCCCAATGCTGTACCGTTCCTGCTATTACCTTCCCCGTCTGCCCCCCCCCCTCCCCAGACGCACCTGGTGGTACTTGCCCTCACAGATGGCCACTCGAGCGGTACGAGCACCGATAAGATCCAACTTGGCAGGCAGCAACGGAGTGTGATCACCCTGGGTACGACAGTACGACGAAGTACAACAGTACGGTGAGTGTAACCCGTGAAGACGACATAGCAGCAGCGCAGCAGTATGGGTAAAATCACAAAATTAAAACGTTTCGGCAACGCCTCCCTTCCTTTTAACAGTTCTGTTCTGTCCTGTCAAATGGTTTCCATCACCACCCCGCCATCAGCCGGGGGCCCAGTCCGCCCTTTCGCGTATTTGAGACATTGGTGTTTTGAGATATTCGCGGTTGCCGGCGAGTGGAGCTCTCCAGTGGGGTTGCCCTCCCTCGCCCTCAACCCGCCCTCGCCCTTCAACCCCCTCAATAACTAGGACGTCCCCCCCCCGGTTGACCCCCCCCACCTCAAGTACCAACGAGCCGCTAGCAAATCGACGAGCCGCTGCGGCCGCCTGGTTGGTTGACATGGGCTCAGCTAGGGTCGCCTCGTACACCTGCGTCCGTACAGGACGAGCAGTAACGAGAGTACGGCAAGTGACGAGGCAAGAGAGACGCCTTTAAAATCATGCGCTCTTGATGGTGCTGTTGCAGTTTTTGGTCATCATGCTCCACCCTACTTCAAATCCCTCTCTCCCCTCCGCTCTTCCCGCACCTAGCTGCCGCAGTTGCTACGCAAGGCGGCAACAGTGGCTGCTGCTGCTGCTGGTGTTGCTGCAACCTAGTGGGCCCCCCCCCCCCCGCCCCACCGCGCCGCACCTTCCATATCCCCCGTCGGGGGGAATTGATTCGGTGCAGCAATGCGCCGTCGTCCGTGAGCAGCAGCAGTCCCGAGGTGTCCTTATCCAGGCGACCCACCGGGGCGAGGAAAGGACGTCGCCGCGCGAACCTGCCAGCGCAGGGAGGTAGGGAGGAAGAGGCAGGGAGAGGAGCAGTTGGCGTCGGCAAACTTCGTATAAAAAATACTCATATACACATACATACATACATACATTTGCGAGCTGACCAGGAACTAAGTTGTGGCGCCGATGATCCGCTAGATTTGGTTGGATGCTGGTAGTGAGTTGCTGAACCCAACGAATACATTTTGAAGTCGGATGGGGTGAATGGATTAGGGTGCCCCTCTCGCAGGGGAGAGCAGGGACTGCCCCGGGAAAGGGGGCCGCTTGCGAAGTTAACCACCCTGTAACAACATACATATATACATACATACATACATACATACATACATACATACATACACACATACACACATACATACATGAGGAATGCGGTCATATTTGATCAACAACATCCACTATTCAGTGAGAGCTATTCGCTCATGCTGCACTGTGCATGCGAAAAGGCGCATAAGATGCTGCAAGAGTGTACGTATGTACGGATAGTCGTACCTGTAGGGCAGCAGGTCGTACACGACGGGGTCAGTGATGTTTTCGTCATCTGGCGAGGTGACCACATAGCCCCCGGGTTTGTGTAGAGCCAGCAGCAGCGGGGACGGCGGGTCCAGGTCCTCCTCGTCAAGTACGACATCCCCCCAGCACACCTTGTCGCCCACCTGCGGCAGCGCAGTGACACACGCATTTTACGCACTCATTAATAAAATTGAAGCATCCTATGTTCGTTTGTCCGTCTGTCTGCCTGTCTGCCTTGGCACTTACGACACAGTTCAGTGCTCGTCACTTCGTAACCCCCCCTGCACCACCGCTCCCTACACACGTGGATCGGTTTGTGTGTGTGTGAAGAGGGGGAAAAGGGGGGAAAGGGGGGGGAAAGGGGGGAAAAGGGGGGAAAGTCGTTCGAAAATCGCTCCAAAAGATGCCCATGCCCGCCTTCCCTTCCTCAACACTTTCCTCTCCCCGTACCTCACCCCCCTTCAAAACCAACCTCCCTCCCCCCCGCTAAAGCAAGCAGCAGCGGTGTGAGCGAAGGACACGAAGGCATACCCCAGTCAAGCACACACCGGAGCAACGGCAGGACCACTCGCAGCGCCATCATCCAGCGACCTGCCAGAGCTCCCGCGGGGGGGGGCACCTGGCAGGCGAGCACGCGAGGATACCTCCCATCCACACCCACACACCCTAACCCAGCCTTCAACCCCTCACCTTGAGTTTCCCACCATCACGTCGGGTCACTCGCCCCTTCTTGACCAACACCTGACACTCCCGCCGCTTGCCGTACCCCAGGTTGGCTAGCAGCCGCTCGACCCGCAGTGCTTTGCCGGCAACTGGGCGGGTGGCGGCGGGGAAAGACGAACCACGAAAGAGTGATTGGGTGGCGGGGGGGGGGAGATGGGGAAAAGAGCGGGGTGGGGAGGGAAGGGATGGATTGAGGACTGTTAGGGCGGAAAAATAGAGGGATGAGGGTAACGCGGAGCCTTTCCGAGCTCGCCAAGGAACAGGAGGGGCCGGAGGGGAGGGGCAGCGGGCAGCGGGCAGGGCACTGCACGCCGGTCAAGACAATGAGCAAAGCGGCTTTCCGACACCGCCAAGCCGGGAGTGTGCCCCTGCCTTTGCAATTCCGGACCAGGCCAGCCTTGCTCACCGGTTGCACCCTCGTCATCATCGTCGCCGTCGTCATCGTTGCCGTCCGCTGCGGATCTCACGGCCTGGACCGCCACGGCAACTGCGATGCAAGACGGGAAGTGGGAGGTGCCCAAAGGCAAAGAAATGACGAGAGCGTGGGGCAAGTCATTCTCAATCTTCAATAAGGCCACTGTCCGCGGACAATGCCACGCGGCACCTTAGATGGGGTGCAGTTGGCAAATCGCTGACTAGGAACTGCGTGAGATGTGCCCAACGGAAGAGAGAAGAGGGAAAGAGATGGGGAGAGAGAGAGAAGGTTTGAGGGGTTTAGGGATTGGAGGGAGGATTGGTACCCCGGCGGCACGGACAGCGCCTATCGTACCTGTCCGGTGTCGTACATTTGACGGCGGCCCCGAAACACGCAATGGAGACGAACTGTGTGCAAGTAATTCCAATCTAATGCAATGGCTTTGCCTTGCTTGATGCTTTGGTTGACTCCTGCTTACCATTACGCCCTTGGTTCCGTCGCAACCCAAATGCTCTTGCACAGGGAGCAGCCACGATAATTGATTTGTAAGGTTTGGGACTGATGTGAACTTGACGCGATAGCCGCATCGTTGGCCCTTGCGTGCACAGTCCGTGCATTTAGAAAATTGAAACTTTGGTTAGAGCGCGTTGATACTTTTTCAGTATCCTTATAGTTATGACAAGGACCGTGAACCCGCAGGCCGAAGTGCGCATGTGAGGGTAGCTCACGGTGCGAAACCGTGAACCAACTGCCTCTACTTCGTCTCCGAAACCTCTTTACCAAACGCTCTCATTATGATGTAGACATTGCTCGTCTCGTTAATTGCTTGTTTTGATAGGCTAGTCTCTATATCATTACCATGGCTCTTTGCATGAAGTCAGCGCTGGGCGTGGCCCAAAAGCCTCGCACCGTGCAAGCTTGCTCGCCTCTGCTGCGCCCAAGCATGCAGAGGTCACCATTTTCAGTCCAAGCGGTAGGGATGCCCTTTAAATTTGTAACAACAGCATAAATGGATGCCTCCGAAATAGCGCACACATAGATTGCATCGCTCGTCGCACACGGCCACAGGTGCTTGGCAAGGCGAGGAAGTCCAAAGTCACTAAGCGCGAGACGCTCACGCCGGAGCCATCTTTTAACCTGCAACTGGGCCTGCTGGGCTTGTCGGGTCTGAGTTTCTATGAGGACAACTACATCTTAGGCGGTTTCCTGGCCTTCCTTGGCGTGTTCCTCTCCATCCAGGCCACTCGCATCAGGTGAGGCTAAGATGACCGCAACCAAAATGCAAACTTCTCAGCGCTTCTGACTACGATTATCGCGCTGGTACCCGTACCATGTTAACCGACACATCATACTCCTCGCACCTGCAGGTTCACGTTTGATGACGAGGTGCGTCCAGGGGATGGACATGGAGTCCCGACACGGGAGGGGGGGGAAAGAACGAACGTGGGGTGTGGATGTGTGTGACACAGACAGAAAGGGGCCAGCAGAGCAGAAGGCGGGTGGATTCAAAATCTTTAGCGCATCAGTGGACCACCCCGCGGGTACAATGGGCGCAAAGACCTACGGGCGATGTACGATTACGCCTTGAGTAGGATGACCGTTCATGGTATTGGTTGCTTTACCGACCCATCTGGGTCGCTCCCAGAGGCCATCTCTCATGCGGCCAGAACAGGGTATATGCCCGTCTTCCAGGGGGAAAAGTCACAGCGCCAGCAGCATCAATGCCGATGTTCCATTGCTGTTTCAGCCACTGCAGCTGCTTTACGCTGTACAGGGCATGGAGGTGCTCCGCGCGGGGCAGGAGAGCGAGAACGTCATTGTGGGTGGACGCAACCGCTGGTCGTACTCGAGCTTCATCAACTGGGAGCTCTGGTGGCCCGGATTCCCAATCTTGGTCTACTTCAAGGTGAGCCAGGGACGGCTGGCCAGGGTAGCCGGCTTTGGGATGGGAGGATGACTTCGTTCCAGGTGGGGCAGGAAGAGGTGACTGGCTGTCTGGCTCGAGCCCCAGTCGGGTTGCAGACAGGCTTACCGGCAGGGCCCCCGTGTTGGCCATTGGCTGTGACACTAAATCGTCTGTATATGTATGTATGTATGTATGTTGTTACAGGGTGGTATAGCTTCACCAGCGGCCCCCTTCCCGAGGCAGTTCCCTGCTCTCCCCTGCGAGAGGGGCACCCTAATCCATTCACCCCATCCGACTTCAGAATGTATGCGTTGGGTTCAGCAACTCACCACCAGCATCCAACCAAATCTAGCGGATCAACGGCGCCTTAACTTAGTTCCTGGTATGATGTATGTATGCATACTAATGCAGGAGAACCAGACGAAGCCGGAGGGTCAGGTGCACTTCTTCCCCATCATTTTCAACGGCAAGCAGCTGTACGAGGCAATGGTGGAGCGCTGTGGGCCCTCCAAGAACAGCGGCCCAAAGAATTGAGTATGGGCGAGGCAGCTTTGCTGGGAACTGCGTGCGTCTGTATGTGCGCGGTAACGAGGATGATAAGTCGCTTACATCCCAGTGTTGGAGGTAGTGGGCGGCGATTTAGGTGCGCTGGAGCAAACCCATCCGGGGTGCAGTGGACGCGGATGTCCCCCGGGACCAAAGGTCTTCTGTTGACCTTTGGTTCAGATGCGGACGGGACCTGCGGAAAGCCATGTTTGCATGTTTTCGTTCTCTCGGTGATGTACAATGCCTCGTGTTTTTTCACAATGGTGTGCTGCACCACAAAGACCCCGTGCTTTGGGTCTTCGTCTGGCGGCGATAGCGAGGTTGTAGAAGGAGGCACACCGCCGGGGGTTGCTGTTTTAGGGCACCGGATTGTGTCGTATTGACGGCTGTGTTCTGTGGACATTGGAAGTCCATGTCGATTTGAATGCCTGTGGGTGGGGGGAGGTTGGTGTCGGCCGGTCATCAGGGACTGGTAGGTGGGGCGCACCAGAGGTACCTGTGTTCCTGTGTGTGTGCATCAGAGGCAGGGTAGGAGGGGGAATCCCTGTTACGTGCGACGAACACGTGTCGTGGTGAGTATGGAACTGTTGGTAAGAGTTTATAAGCCATTCGCGTGTGCGGTCGCGTCGCTATGTATTGGGTCCTTGAACCAGCTAACGGTCTGCAGTAACAGCACACAGTGGCAGGTGGCAGCATTCACTCCTCTGGTATCTGTCGGAAATGAGTCAAATATGGTGAAGTGGCTCCCAGGGGGCATTGCGCCATGCAGAACAAAGTTGCCAGCAGGACAAAGCTGGCAGCAGATGACAGCTAGCTAGGGCTAAGCACCCTCACTTCAGAAGCCAAAGCAGTCTTAGCCTGTAAAATAAAAACTCTTTCGCTGCGTAGATTACATGCCGATGAGGAACCTGTCCATGTCGAAGATTAAGGTGCCTGAGCATCCGAGCTCTGCCTCGAAGAACTGCAGGAGCGTGTCGGCGATGCCGTCGAAGTCGCCCATCACAGCTTCTGCACGGGTTGCCAGTGTGTGTGTGCAGCACGATTTGTGTTGAGGCGGTGATGCGGAGTAACATGTAGGGGGTGGAGGAGCGTTCAGGAACGTCACTGGCTGAGGCGCTGTGGCCCAAGGATCTTCGGGGTGCTCCTGAAGTGTGGGATTCCATTGAAGTCAACCTAATGTCAAGATTCATTAGCGCATGCAAACACTAATATGCGTTGATTCTCATTCTGCTCCCTACTGGACAGCGTACGCCCAAGGTCCAGGTCAATCGAGGTGCCCACGCAGCCCTGTAGCATGTTGTATTTATCCAAGAACGTTTCTGCCCTGAGAATATCAACATGCAGATCAAAGCCTGACGGTATCGGACACAGAGGTGGTTGCCCAAATCTTCTTATGCAGGGAAGGATGTACAGAGGGGTGGAGGGAGGGAGGGGTGGAGGGGGGAATGGAGGGATGAAGGGAGGGATGTATGGGCCAACTTTAATTTGAAATACATATAAAGGTTGGCTTTTATAGAATTGGCTGCTGCAAGCCTGGCGGCAAGCTGCTGGTCGCTGCTGACGGCTAGGAGGCAGTTGCTCCTCTTGGCATTTGTCCTCTCTGCATTTATGAAGATCATTTGGATTATATCCTTGCTTGTCACCAGCAGTCGGTAACCCTACCAAACAGCGGTCGATAATTGGTCGCGTCTGTACCTGGCCGGTAGGGTAACCGACATAACGAGCTAACGACCCAGTAATAGGGGGTTCACCGACTGATAAGGTTACCGGTCGGTAAGGTGGCCTACCAGTGAGGTTACCGACCAGTAAGGTTACCGGTCGGGGACCGGGTCGTTATTTCGAGATGTCGGTTACCCTACCGAAACGACCGGTTGGGTTATAGCTAACCGGTCGGTTACCGACCCTTTTATGTCATAGGATGGATACACGTGATCTCGGCGCAGTGGCAGCACCTGTGGTCGTCCTGGGATCGCACCAACATCCTGGAATCGCAGTTGCAGACACAGGCCCCCAGGCTGGACCATTCCATGCGGTTCATGCAGATTGCCCAGACAGGTATGTCGCCCGTCGGCGCCAAGCCTTAGTGTTCATACAAGCCTTACTTTGCGGCTTTTGTGTGTTTTGTGTTGACCAAGGTTTAGATTCCTGCCTGCCTCGCACTACAGGTCCCTTGTTGGGCCACTTCCAGGTGGCTAAAGGCACCGTTCAGGCCCCCACTGCGCAGCTGTACTTTAGTGCCATGAACACCGTTGATGACTTGTTGGTGTTCGCCAAGCCTTGTGCCGGGGAAAATGTTTTGCTTGCCGTGTTCCACAAAGTGTGGGAGCACCTGCAAGGGTCGCTCACCCCGTCCTCCTTCTTGGTGTTGGCTTTTAGCATGGAGGACACCTGGCGTTCGTATGAGCGGTTGCCGTTTGCTGCCCTGTGATGCCTCTTGTTTCTCCGCTCTTGTTAGTTGTTTTATGGCAGCAAACGCACTGTGGGTATGTAAACGGTACAAAGCCCTGCAGCGTGTGGACCGACTTTGTAACGAATCGTGTATGCAAAATGTAACAGTCTTGCGCTTATGGGATCGTTTTAACTCGGCACAGTTCCGGAGCAGGACAAAACACTCCGTTTCCATATGGTGCGTTGACACTATATAGGTTTCGGCTCGGGCTATTGATTTATAGATTGACTGCGGCAATCCTCTGCTTGGGTAACCTCACGGAGCGGCTCCAGTGTTCACTGGATTGCCGCTGTTTATTTCTGTATCTTGTATGCAGCATGACACATGGAAACCACCCAACGGTAATGCCATGCAAACCTTTGTCGTGCCCGAAGAACAGATTGATCGTTACATAACACAAATCCGAGTATTATTCTAGTTATGCGTTCGCATAAGCGTAACCCGTCATGCGGGATGAACTAGAAACATCTGTCCACCACCTCGTGCCTGGCCGGACCTTGAGCAGTTTGGTTGACAGAAATGAAAGAAAGAATAATACTTAAAGAAAAAACTTGAAGTATCCAACATGCCGGATCATGTCGCCAGTGCCGCCGGTGAGGGCCCGGAATGGAGCCAAAATTTCGAGCAGTGCCTGGAGCTGCTGCGTGGTCCGGGTGATGAACGCAGGTATCTTTCCTTCAAACACACAGTCACGGCTACGTCCCTCACCTGCCCTGAGCGCCCGCTTCTCTCCTTCCATCCGGAACGCTGGACCGCGTCCAGGTTCGTCGGACTCCTGCTGGTGACGCGGCTCCTGCCACATGGCAGCGATGACGGCGTACGAAGAGTCCTGGAGGCGCTCGGGACTCAGTTCCTCCACAGGTTGCTGCTACCGCTGCGCCGGCCATCGCAGGTAACGTGTAACGTGCATTAGTGTTGACCTTGCCGCACCTTTTGGTAAATTTGAATCGCGCACGTTGTCCTAGTGCACCCACACCGCACCACCCGCCTGATTTGGTTGAACTCTCCTTGATTTCGGTTCCGCCCTCAGGAGCCGCTGTCTGTCGAGGCTGCAGAGCATCAATCCACCAGCTGCAGTCTGGCGCTGGCAATCCTGGCAGCGGCTTGCCGGCTGAACGACTTCGCAGCCGGGCCCGATGTACGAGAGCTACTGCCGGTGCTGCTAAAGGTACGGTACAGTATCGCCAAAGTTGTTGTTGTTACGAAACGTCAGAACACACAAAACCACAGACAGCTTGAGCACAGCACTTTTCGGCAGAGTTGTGTCGTTGCGGAATTTCAACGGAAAAAAAGTTGGAGACCTTGACCTTGTCAGATATCTACACATTCAGGTCCTGTTGGGTTCAGCGTCACAGAACGACAAGTACGGCAAACGTGCGAAATGTTGGCCGTTTTGGCAGTGACCGGATACGGTTCACACAGCGTATGTTTAGATGTACAGGCGCATATCTCGCCCTAACATTGCACGATCGCATGTGCATGCACCTGTGCATGCAGGTTGTGCAGTACGGCGGTGTGTCTCGCGCTCTGCAAGCGGGCACCGCAGCCGCCGCGGCGTCGGCAGGTGCTGCCGCTGCCGACGCCGCTGCCGTTTCCGACGCCCTAGAATGCCTGGTAGGCGCCGCCGCCGCTGCGCCTGAGCTGACCCTGAGCTGCCTGGAGCGCCTTCCCGTCATGGACGCCCTGGCCGCGTGGCTGACGGCAGCGGCGGCCGTGCTGACGGCGGCAGGTGGCGGCAGCGCCGCGGGGGCGGCGTCCCCCGCAGCAGAAGCGCAGGCGCACAACAGCGTACTGCTTGCGGCGGTGCTTCTCGAATGTATGTTGACCGGTGCCGCTGAAGGCAGGGCGACGGCCGTGCTGGCGGAGCACCCGACGGCAGCTGCGCAGGTCATGGCCGCGCTGTCGGCGCTGGTGGGCAACCCACGGCTGCTACTGCCGGCGACCCATGGGGCGCCGCCGCCGGCGTCACCGCCGCCGCAGCAGCAGCACAGGCCACAGGCACCAGGCGCTGCCGCAAGCAGTCAAGCGGCAAGCGACTCCCGGAAAGGTTCCGGCAGTCTCGGCAGCAGCCGCAGCGGTGGCAGTGGCGGAGGTGTCGCGCAGCTACAGCTCGAGGCGCTGCACCTGCTACTGCTGATGCTGCAGTCGTGCCAGGAGTCGGCGGCGGCCGCCACCGCACATGAGCTTTTGCGGCTGGATGAGCATGTAGCATGGTCAGCTGCCGTACGGCGCGGCTTGGGCTGGCTGCTACGCAGTCGAGCGCCGGGGGCTCTGAAGCACTCGGCGCTACAGCTGGGAGCTCTTGTCGTACAATTGGTTGGAGAGGGATGGCTGCTGGGGCCGCGACCTTTCGTATCGGGTGTCGCGGTGCAGGAGCTCGAAGAGCCGCCGGGGTCCTTCCTGCTGCTGCTGTTGGAGACACTCAAGGTAGCTGGCGCTTCCGGAGGTAACACTCCTCATGTCAATAATACAATAAGGAATAAGGAAAGCAGGGGGGGAGGGCTGCTGGGCTGCTAGGGAGAGGGCTGCGAGCGATAAGCCTCAGCTAAGTGAGTGGGGATGATGATGGCGGGGGATTGAAGGGCTCACAGCACAACATGATCTGTCCTTTTGCGTCCGCCGGTCTACCTGTGCAAGATATGAGTGTGCCCGCCCTCATGAACGGGCCGGTCCAACCGGTCCAACCCTTGGGGAGCAGATTGAAACGGGGCTGCTGCTACACGACGCCCTTCACCCCGACCGACCCGTCCCTGCCGCCGACTCGCAACGGAGCTCAGCACGCGACCAGGCGCAGCCCCCGGCGCCGTCGCAGCGGCTACTGGAGGAGCTGGCGGCAAGGGCGGCGCAGCGCAAGGCGGCGGAAGAGGCCGCCGTGCAAGCGGCCGCCGGCGCTGCTACCGGTGCAGCGGCGCTGCCGGCGGCGGCGGCGGCGGCAGCGGCGCCTGCTGCAGACGTAGACATGAGCGATGGCAGCTTGTCTAAGGAGGTCCGTGGCGGCGGCGCTAGTGCGGCAGGACCGGCAGTGCCGCCGCCGGCGACCATACCAGCGGGTCGGCGCGCGTTGCTGCTGTTGCCGGCGTGTTTCCGGCTGCTGGAAGGCAGTGTGGAGGCGGTGGCGGCCGATGCGGGCGATTGTATGGAGGTTGAGGTTTCGGAGCCGGTTGCAGCGGCGCCGCATTCAGCAGGAACCCGCGGAATGGTGCCGCAGCCGCCGCCCAGGCCGCGTCCGCCGGTGCCTGCACAACCCGTACTGCCAGACGCAGTCGTACAGGTGAATGGGATGGTTAGTCTTTTGCCTTTCTTGGCTTAGTCCGTTCAGTTTTCCTCTTGAGGGAGAGAACAATGAGGACGGCCCGAGGAGGGCAGCTCCGCATGGATGTCCACGGGGGGCATACATACATACATACACGACGTGGCCCACGCGCGCCCACATGGCCACCGGTCAAAGGTGTGTGGTGATGAGGTCTGAGTTCGTCGTGCTGCTGCCTACTCCCTCCCATGCAAAGCCCTCCTCCCCACCTCCCCTGTTATCCTCTTTCCTCATCTCGGTTATCAACCACACAAACCCGTTGACCATTTCCCCCCTTCTGTTTTTCGTCCCCATAAAAGTTCCCCTCCACCCCCAACATGTTACTCCGCAACACCGCCCCAACACAACTCCTGCTACAACCCCCCCTCTGGCAACCCGTGCAGAAGCTGATGGGCGCCTTCGACGGCATCGCCGACACGCTCCTGCAGTTCTTCGAGGCAGACAACGAAGTGCGGCAGCAGCAGCAGCAACAGCAGGGCGCTCCTAGTCCTAGCGGGGAGGTGTTGCTAGGTGCCGCCCGAGTGTTGGGTCGCTACCTGGCGGAGGCTCCTGGTGCGGTCCGCAATCCGCGGGTGCTGAGGGGGCTGCCACTCGTGGTGGCGGTAAGGTGCAGGGCAGGGGCCGCGGAGGCGGCTCCGCGGGCGGTACCTGTGGACAAGGGTGTCTGTACGCAGGGCCAACAACAACAACAACAACAACAACAACAACGACAGGAGGAGGAGGACGGGGAGGAAGGGGAAGATCTTGACGGTTTTTCGTTGCCGTTTCTGTTGCCGGGGCTTTTACAGGTGCGGGTTATGACCGGCAACCGGTCGCTGCGTTGTTCGGAATGGTACTTGGAGTGTTGCAAAAGAAGCGCCAGAAGGAGCAACTGCCCACATTCAAAGCGCTGTCAACTGGGGTGGGTGGGTGGTGATGGTGATGGTGATGGTGATGGTGAGTGAGTGAGTGAGTGACTAGCTGCCTGGGCGGCGTGAGCCGTTGTGTGAGCCGCTGGTATAGCCGGAGGAAGTAAGGATCTCGCTGATGCCCCTGTTATCACACCAACAGTTAACGACATGTACCGCTGAACCCTAACCGCTAACCGCCCAACGTGCAACGTGTTTTCAACTGTGGGCTTTCCAGGCCACGGGGCCCGACGCCAGCGAGCGCTCCGAAGTCGCGAGAGCGCTCCGTACATCACCGGAGGCTCTGAGTGCGTGCGTCAGCTACCTGGCGCATTGCGTACGGAGCGCAGTGGCGGCGGCGCCAAATGCGGAGCGCCTGCTTGCGGCGGCGGGAGCGGCGGTGGACGGTGCCGCGGGCACCCGCGGCGCCGCCGCGCTGTCGGTGCTGGCGCAATCGGAGCAGGGTATGGCTGACGTCAGCATGCTTCTGCTCAATCTGCTGGAACCTTCGGTCCTCGGCGCCGTTGCGGCGAGACTTGGGGATGAGGGGGATGAGGGCAGTTCTGCGGGGGCGGCGCCACCGCCGTCTGCCTGGTACGGCATTAGCGGGGCTGGCTCCGCCGATGCCGCCGATGCCGCGTCACGGCACCTACCGCCGCTGCTTGCGCAGCTACTACCTGTTTGCTGGCTGGTCCAGCACTGGGCGGCGTCTCGTATGGGCGCTCTAGGGGTAAGTGTCTAGCACAGCAGCGGAAGCAGCAGCATCAATAGCAGCAGCATCATAGCTGCGGGAGTTGCCATCATCCCTGTGAAGCTGTCGCCCCTTTCCACCCCATCACATTCCCTCCCTCTTCCCTGACTTGTCGCCGTTGGTTTCATTCCTTCTGGCTGGCCGCTTCTTTGTAATCTTTTGTTAGCCCCGTCTTGACCTTATCTCCCCCACGACCCGTACACCCAGGCCCTCGCCTCCCTGGACCCGCTCCGCCTCCCCATCGGCCGGGGAGCACCCACCGCTGCCGACCTGCTGTTCCGATTCCAACTGGCCACTCGGACACTGCTCTGCACCACCTGCCTGGCCGCTGTGGTTCTCACCACCGTCATGTCATGGCTAGCGGCGGGTGCTCAGCAGCGCGTGTTGCCGGGGACAGTTGCGCACCACCACGACCACCATCATCATCACCATGGCCACCAGCAGCAGGAAGAGGATGGAAAAGGGTCAGCAGCTGAGTTGCTGTCCGTCCTACTGCCGTCGGCAGTTGTGGAGGCCGTCGGTACGGCGACGCTGGCGGCGGCCGCGGCCGGCACGTCCCTGCAGATGGCACAGCTGCACGATCTGGCAAAGGAGGCGCCGCCGCCGCCGCCGCCGCCGCCAGCAGCACTCCGGGACCCTCGGCTGCCGCTGACGGCGGCCGGCCTCGCGGAGGACTTTCTGGGGGATGGTGAGGTGTGTTGGGAGCGACTTTTGGGCGCGGCGGCGCAGATGGTGGAGATGAGTACGGCGGTACAGCAGCTGGTGGCGGCGGGGCTGACGGCGGCGGAGGGTGAGGGGAGTGCCGTATGGCTGCAGCGTCTTGTGGCGGCACGTGCACGAGGGGAAGGGGCGGCTGAGGAGTTGTTGATGTCGGAGGTGAACTTGGCTCTATTCCTGCAGGTGGTAGTGCAGGGGCTGAGAATGGGGGGCAACGTTGCGATGGGTTGACAGTGGAAACGGTCTTAACTGATGGTTTGTCCGGACGCCGCGGCAGCAGTAGCGCGAGGCCGGGAGTCAGGGGCCAGGATGGGTTTATGTGTGAGCACAACCGCCACCTGGCAAATCTTCCATGGCCATGGGAGGAGTGTGGAGAGGCTTATGCTGGTTTGAAGCGCTGGCCAATTAGGTGCTTGTGGCCATGGGCGCCGTGAATGCGGCAACAGCACTGTTTTTGAGTGCATGTGCGTTGGTTTGGATGTGCGGGTCAGTCACCAGCTCACCACCGGGCGATGTCGAGCCCGGGGTGAAGGGAGTGCCAGGCACGTAACACGCCGGTAATTGGGTTGAAAAGGGGGGAAGGGGTTTCGTTGGTGATTGCCGGTTGTTGTAAAACTGCGATCGTGTGTGGGGAGGTGGTTGGGTCGGGTCGTGCAGGCTTTCGGCGATTGGGGCTTCACATGCTACGGGGCTTTGACATTTTCGACATTGGCGCAATATAGTGGCGGGCACCTGGCACTCGATGCGGCCGCAGGAGGCTGCGAAGGAAGCTGCTGTTTTTTCTGTTACTTCTGTGATATTGGTCCTGCTGCTGCCGCTGGTATTACTGCTACTGCTACAAACATGCCAGCTGGCGTTCTGTTGCGGACATGCAAAGCGTCACGAAGCCATGGCAGCAAATCTGCAGCCATAGCAATATGTACGGTATAAATAAATGATATCGGTAGTTTAGGTCATGCAGCAGCAGCACGACGGGTGGTACGGTCAGATCCGCCGCAAGGTCGATCAATCAATTGAATTAACAATTGCAACAACAACAATAGCAGCTACTCAGGGCAACCGATCTGGAATGTGATTAGGGGTAGCTGCATGGGAGCACGCCGATTGACATACCGTGGGGCTTCTGACCCCGGCAGGCAGGCAGACCCCCCTGCGCACCTCTTTTACCTCGTAATTGCTTCCACCGCGGGTTGTACGGACCGATCCAGGATGCAAAGGACGCATACGAAAGCGCACGGGCCTGGACCTCAGGAGCCATCCAGCTCATCCAAGCTTTCCTTTTTGGCGAATTTAGGAAGCGGACTCAGCCATATCCGCATCGCCATGTCCGCATGGCCACCTCTCCACCTCGCAGGCCTCCCTGGTCATCTTCCTCCCTAACACCCACCTAGGAATCCTCCTCATCCAGTCAACCGGACATCGGCAGAGACTGCGGGTCAGGGTCCTCCAATCCAGCGTCGCCACATCCAGCAGGATTCGACCCCACCAATCCAGCGTGGTGCGAATCTCGGTCCATCAACTGTGACCTTAACTACACATCTCAGCAGCTAGCCATAATCTCACGCACCTCCCGACAATGTCGGGGGTCTAATCAGGACCATCCGCCCACCTAGCACGCACTCAACCATGGACAGCAGAGACACTGCGCGTGTGTGTGTGTGCAGCATTGCTGCTTGCTGCACAGGTAAGCTGGCACCTCGCTCCTCCTCTTCGCTACAGTCCATCCACCTCATATACTCCGTTCTGCCCGTCCTTCCCCACACACCACCACCAGAACCACCACCACCCTCTCCCTCACATCTTGCTCCGCAGCCTTTGCATCGCGGCTCCCTCATGTCCCAGCCTAGAAACTACCTCCTCCTCCACCTCCTTCTTCTCCACCTCCTCCGTCACGCGGCTGTGTTTCCCAACGGCGGGGCCAGCTGCCCCTACAGCCTCGGGAGCCGCAGCAGCGGTGGGGGCGGCGGCCGCTAGTTCCCGCACCCGCGTCATTCTCGCCATAGCCGGATCCGGCACTGCCAGGAATTTGGTGTGAGTGCCTGTGGCCACCAGCTGACCCGTGGACCTGCGGCGGAGCTGGACCTCCAGGGAGGCCAGCTGGCGACCCACGCGGACGACGCGAGCATCGATGACCACTGTCTCCGCTTCGGCGGCGGTGGCAATGGCTGTGCTGCCGCCGCCGCCGCCGCCCCCGGGCATTGGCGCCAGGTAGGTGACGGCGAGGTGGACACTGACGCCGGAGTGGGGGCTGACGGTGAGGAGAGCCGCGGTGGAGATGGTGTCCACTAGGGTGGCTGAGTGTACGGCGTGAGTGTGTACGGGAGGGAGTTTACAGCATAATTGAGGCGTTTACAAAAGGATGAGTTGAAATGGATGCGTGCATACATACCTGTAGCGCCGCCGTGGAGGGTGCCGTACCGGTTCTGGACGCGCTCTAGCACCGGCATCTCGCACACAATGCGACCCTCGCCGACCTCGACTACCCTCAGACCCTGCAGCGCCGTGTGATCAAAAGTGGGGCGGTCGCCCATAGCGGTGCCATCCACCAGGGTCTCCACGAAGCGACGTGCCAGTTCGGTGCGGCTGACAGCATCGTCGGGGGCCGGTTGGGAAGCCGGTGACTCCAACATAACTTCAGTGGAAGGATGAAATATATCTTTTACCTATTGGACTTTGGCCTCCTGGCGAACGCTACGGGAGATGTTCTGGTCAACTCACGATACACTCTGGGGTTTGTACGTATTCCGTTTCTTCTTAACAATGATGTGAAATTTGGTGGCCTATTTAAAAATCAGAGTGGACAGAAGATGGCTATAATAAGCAACTGAACTCCCTCTACAGGTACTCATAAGTTAACCGCAAGCAGGGGGTGCTTTAACGTACAACGATTTGCAACGAGCTTTCGCTAAGGCCAAGGCAGCAGCATCTCTGAATTTATTATTTATGCCCAACAATGTCTGGGATATTGCTCTCATTCGCTCATTCGTGAGAGTGCCAAATTGAACAAATGGACTTTCTTACATAGAAAAGTGATTGTTGAAGTCCCTCCGCGAGGCCCCGTTATTCTGAATCATAAAAATGAAAAAACTTTTCGACAAAGTAGGCAAGAAAAGGGAGAGTAATTCGTTGGTTGGGAAAGTGGTACTTGTTGGGCAATTCTCCGTGAAGGTGGAAGCCGTAATAGGAGAAGGTAAGCGACGAGATTCCCCATCCGAAAGGCGCTATTTGATCAGATCCGCTAAAGGGCCAGTAGAACAGGCACAGCACCTCGACTGGTTTGGTTGGTGTACGCACCACGTGTGATGGGGATCATTTGCAGCTAAAACCAAAATTCCATTTTATGATTTCCTGTGTGTGCAGGTGGCTTCGCGACAATCTACAAATGCGTCAACATGAAAAGCGGCCACATCTTCGCGCTAAAGCACATGCGCTTGGGCGCCGACGCGGATGCAATAAAGGAGGTTCAGCAGGAGGCAAAGACCATGGCGCGGCTTAAGGTGCGGCTGCGTGGTCGCCGCGCGCGCATAAGCACCCCGCCGCTCCGCCTATCACGACATCTAGCCAGTCCGACATTCCAGGACAGCCGCTATACACACCTTCCCACCATCGCCGTACATCTTGGCACCGCAACCATTGCACATGTTCCCCTTTTCCCTCCCAAAACTCCCATCCCATCGCGCTCGTACTGTACACTTACCCTCACTAAGATCCCATCTCAGACTCGCCTGGGCTCTCCGTTCCCCCTCATACATCCCCGCAGCCCTCCATCTCAATCCCATTGTACACTGCTTGCCATGTATGCGCCCTCCGATCTGGCGCTTCTTCACATTCCTTCCTCCGCCGCTCCCTTCCTCCGCCTACTGACCTGGATGGACATCTGGACTTCTGCAGTCCGAATCAGCAGCATCCCATCCTAAACCATTTCCTTCCGACGCCCCTTCCTGACTCATACCGTCATCTCGTACTGCCACGTTGCTCAACGTCAATGTCGTCCTCGCCACCGCACCCCGCAGGGCCATCCAAACATCCTGAGGCTCCACGCGGTGGCCTTCGCCGGCCCGGCTGGCTCCGAAACCGATGGCTTCATGCTGCTAGACTATTGTCCTCAGACGCTGCTGGAGGTGATGCAGCGGGCCAACTTCACCCTGGACGATTACCTGGTGTATGAGGTGTTTCAGGACGTGGTGTGGGCGGTGGCGCACATGCACAAGTGCAACCCGCCGTTGGCACACAGGTAAAGGCCGAAGAGGCGGTGTATATATGTATGTCTATGTGTGTTCTTGAAATGGAAGGTGCTGGGTAAGAAGGACGGTGCTGGTGGTAGTGGTGATGGCTGAGGGAGCTGGGGGTGGCTGGGGCGCTGCGAGCTCGGTGGCTACATGACGGTGCTGGTGGCGGCGGCGACTGGGGTGTAGCTGCCCATACCAGCCACCAGTCCAATTTTTTGTTTTCCATGTCAATGGTCGGATCGTTGCACCGCTGTACTGCCTTTGTATTGGTTTTTACCATAGTGTATTGCTGTTTGCGTCGTTGACCACATCGATAAGGCCGTATTGTGCACGTATCCATGTTTTGAAGGTGTAACACGCACACATGTCATGTCATGTCGAGCAGGGACCTGAAGGCTGAGAACGTGTTGAAGAACAGCGAGGGCCGCTGGGTAATCTGCGATTTCGGATCTAGTACGGCTAGGGCGCAAGTGTACGACACACCTACCGAGATTGCGATGGAGGAGGAAAATATTCGGCGGACCACCACCCCAGCCTACAGAGCACCCGAGGTAGTTGGATTGGCGGTTGGATGGGTTGGCGGTTGGGCGGTTGGGTCGCTCCATTTCCGGCGTGCGAGGGCCTGGGGACTGGCTCGCTGTGTCTATCCCCTGCCCCCAACCTGGAATGCTGCCCCCGAGGTGCACATGGGGGAGCACACGGCGCTCTAGACACTCTGCATGCTTAACCCAACCCTACCTGCCTGTCGTGTCCTGAGTATTTGTCCCTCTTTTTGTCCTTGTCTTGCGTCCAGTTCCCGACCCAGGCAAACGCCACTACTCAGCTGCCACCTGCTGCCACCTGGCTCGCCCTGGCTGCTTCGCTCGACCCCACCTGACCCGACCTGACATTTCAGCCAATTTAGATATCGGAACTGTTGAAGTGATGTTGTAGTTATTATCTGCTTCGAAATCACCTAATCGAATACGACAGGACCTGACCCGACCTCACCTGGCTAGCCCCCTTGGAGCACTTAAACCACTTCTTACCTTCGGTTGTGTTACCTGGTCTCGACCTGACCTGACTCGACCTGACCTGTACCCGTTGACAGATGTGGGACCTGTACTCGCGGCAGCGCATCGACACAGCTGTGGACGTGTGGGTAGGTGGGGGCTGTGGGGCTGGGGGGGGGCTGGGGAGCAGAGAGGGAGGGTGTAGCTGCGGCTCTGGTTCGTCTAGGTAAGATGTAAAGAGGCGTTGTAACCCTTAAAGTCGTGTGATTTTTTCGGTGGTGGTGTGTCGCGCCGTCCGCCGTCGGCCGAGTCCGAGTCCGCGCCCAGTCCGTCCCGCACTATGCCTATCACGTCATGCCACGTCACCTCACGTCACCTCACGTCATCACGTCGCGCTGTTGGGACCTGGCTGCTGAGTCGCCGGTTGCCCCGGTTGGATTATGTTTTAAGCAGCCTCCTCCACTCCCCCTCTCCATTTCACGCCACAGGCGCTGGGCGTGTTGTTGTACGTGCTGGCGTTCGGCAAGCTGCCCTTCCAGGGGGACTCCAAACTTAGCATTCTGTACGGGAAGTACGACATGCCGCCCGGGCGGCCCGCCGCCATGCGAGCACTTATCCAGGACATGCTGCAGGTACAGGGCTGTACGTGCATATGTACGTACGTGCTAGTTCTTCTGTGGCGTTGCTGTGCAGCGGAATGAGCGCGATGTGCTCGTGTGTGTGTGGGTGCGCGCGTGTGTGTGTGTGTGTGCAGGGCGGCTGCTGCCTTACACCGGTCTGAACGCCCGTCCTTTTTCACGCATCGCGCATGTCGCACGTTCCCTTCCTCCTTTCTGTTTTCTTTGGGCTTACGTCGGCAGCTGGCCCTTTGGTTCTTTTTCTTCTTCTTCTTGCTTCTTCTTCTTCACCTTCTTTTCCTCCTCTTGCTGCATCAACACGTGATTTCCCGTTCAGCCCCTTTCCCTTTCCCGCCGATCTTGCAGTCAGCGGCTGTTTGCCCTTGATTTCCCCCCTTCCCCCTCGGAGATTTATCATTCCATTTTCCTCCCCCCCTACACCTCCCCCCCCCCCCGCAGGTGAACCCAAATGACCGACCCGACGTCTTCCAGGTCATCTCCAAACTCGATGTGCTCCGACAGGCCCTCTCCGCTGACCCCACCGGAGACGCACCCGCACTCCCGGTGCAGCGCCCCCAGCAGCGACAACCGCCACCGGGCCCCGGCGCCCCTCACCCCGCCTCCCAGAGCCACCCGTATCCCCCAGGGCCACCACAGCCCGTCCAGCGTCAACATAGCCCCATAGCCGGTGGAGGCACACTACCGCCACCACCACTGCAACAGCAACAGCAGCAGCAGCTCCAGCTTCAGCGTATACAACCTCCAACGGCCAACGGCCAACCGGCGACTTCTGGGCCCAACGGCATGTCTGCCCCGCCGTACATCTCCCCCCGCGTATCGCCACCACCGGCGCACATGCAAACCCCGCAGCCGCAGCTGCCGCCGCCGCACTCCCGCGCACACACGCAGCAGCAGCAGCCGCTTCCACAGCCGCTGCACCATCACCAGCCGCACCCCAGCCCCTACGCCTCGCCGCAACACGGGCCACTGACACACCTGCCCCCACACGTGCAACAGCAGCACCAGTCGCAGCCACAGCAGCAATCTTCTGGGCAGTCTTACGGAGGTCCCGCTCCGGGACCTGACGCCTCTGTCCCGCCACAACCGGGGGCCAGCCCCGGGCCACCAGGAGTGCCGCGGCCCGTCGCCAGCGGTGCGCCGACCTCAGCCGCGTCAGCATCGGCGTCCGCGCAGCGGGCGCCCTCGCGTCAGGGCAGCTTCAGCCCCAATTGGCCACCAGCGTCACCGCAAGTAGCGGCGACCGTAGCGACGGCAACGGCAGCAGCAGCAGCGGTGGCGGTGGCGGCAGCGGCTGCTCCGTCGCCGCAGCGGCCAACGCTCCAGTTGTCCTCCAGCACCACCGCCCATGGCCCGGCCTCTTCACCTCTATCTCAACAGCAGCCGCAGCTGCCGGACTTGATGGACGCCGCGATTCAGGAGCCGGTGCCAGCCGCGATGACAGCCGACTCGGACTGGGAACGTGACTTCCGCCGCAGCGGGAGCGGGGCTGGACTGCCCGGCGGACACCAGAAGCAAGATACGCCGACAGCGGCGGCGATGGCGGGAGGTCCGGCGTCGGCGGCATACAGCCGATCCGTGCAGCTCCATCCGCAGAGGTGAGCGGCGGCGTCCCGCAAGTAGGGGTTGATGGGGCTAGGCGCTTGCATGTACTAGAAGGGGGCGTACCTGGGGGTGGGGTGGGGGGGGGATGGCGGACGGGTGGGATGAGGTGACCAGCTAAGGTTGGAACACGACGAGGGCGATGTTGGCGGCCACTGCAGCAAAACCCAATCTAGTCATGTATCGTGGTGGTACTCCGGGCGGTGCGCTTTTATTAAATGACCAGAATGCTATGTGACCAGAGTGGATTGGACCGGGCGGGGTGGGATGGAGTGGTGTATCGTTTGGTGGAGGGGATGGGTGTGAGGTGCGGGTGAGGTGGAGTGGGAAATCTTCATCTGCATGTGGCTTCAGCTCAGGTTGTGCCGGGCTTCCCTGCCATCACGCGCGCCACACACGCCGCTGTGCCTTATCCGCGGCCGGTGTGAGTACCTTGTGACACTCATTACCCCGTGACGGGAGATTCCGCATCCTATTGGAGCCGCAGTCAGTCTGTTGCAACAGCCGTGGTATCGTAGCCCGCGGCACAGCGGATGGATCCTTTATAAGAGAACTCACCACGTGTGTTTCGGAGTTTTACGTCTCCGTTCCGGAAAGCTATGGTAAAATCCCAATCCGGCCTGGACCTCAAAGAAGGAAAAAAACCCAATTCGATCCGGACCCCCCCCCCCGGCCCTGCAGCCCTGTGGAGCCCGCTGTCAAGCGCACGGGATCCTCCTCCGAGGGGCCCTTTCGAGCGGCGCAGAAGCAGCAGGCCGCTGCCGCTGCCGGCACGCTTGGGGCGAGTACGGCAGCCTCTCACGCAGCCATAGGATTCGGGGAGGACAATGTGGACTGGGACGAGCAGCCGGTGTTCGGCTGGACTGCCAGCCGACAGCAGCTGCAGCTGCAGCAGCGGGTGAGCGACGAGGAGGGCTTGTGCGTGGGCGAAGTGATGAGGGATAGCCCTATAGGGAGAACGGACAGATGGGCGCTATGGGCAGCTATGCTTTCCTTCTTGAACTGATTACACCTCCCAGGGGACATGGTCATCCCATTATTAGTCGCAGTCCGCCGTACGTCTAAGTGCGTTCCTGTTGGCCGTACAGTTAGGTGTGCGTGGCCGCCTTTGTTGAGAAAAACTACCGTTCCCCACGCCACATAATCATTATTATCATCATCACCATCATCATCATCATCATTGTTATAAATTATAATTATCATAATTATGATCATTATCATCATCATCGTCACCCTGATCGTTGTTCTTGTTGTACTGTCACCCGTGTTGACGCCTCCACAGTCCGACTCGCAGCTGCTTCCGGCATTGGATAATAGCTTCGCTGCCCCAATCGCCGGCGGAAGCGCGGGGGGCGGCGGAGGCGCCAACACTCCAGGCGCCTTCAGGATCAGCTCCCCCACGCCGCAATCCGCCGATTACCCGCGCAGCGGCTGCAGTAACATAACCAGCCAGTTCTCACCAATAGCGGCGCCGGCGCTGCCACCTGGCGTTGTACGAGCCGCGCCTGCGGCGGTGCTGCCACCGACCCATGGGTTCGTCAGCTGCGTTGCCGCCGCCCCGTTGTCCGGCACGGTACCTGACGTGCCGGCAATGGCTGCGGCAACGCCCTCTGCCGTACAGCGCGTTGGATCTTTCGAGCTCGTGACGGGGGAGCTTGTGGAGCCCGAGAGCCTCAGGTGCGACGAGGACTGACTGCCGACGGACTGTAGGCGGACTGGAAAACGCGGAGGGCGGGGTGTGGGTCGCTTGCTCTCAGCCCCCCTGCGCCTTCCCGCCGCAACCATAGTCCTTGGTCGGTGTCCGATTTGCGCTTTCCCTTCCCCAGTAACGTTGAGAAGTACAGTACAGAGGCAGGGCGGCCACGCCACGTTGTTATGAGGGACTCCTTCCTGTGCGCGCATTCACACCTGCGAGATGTCTCCTGTACGGATTCAGTTGAGATGTATGCCTCTGCTTTCTTACTATATTCTTAGCCACGCGGCCTTGTATATGCTAATGGTTTGATCTCATGTGTGTGTTTGGGGGAATGGGGAATGCGTTGTGTGTGTGTGTGGGGTGGTCCTACTTAGGACCCAGTTGCAGAACCTCACGTCGGCGAACCAGCACTTGGAGGCTCGTGTACGGCAGCTGGAGAGCCTCGTATCGTCGCAGGGTGCGATGATCCAGAGGCTGGCCTCCGAAATGCGTGCGATATTGCTCCAACATCATCATCATCATCAGCAGCAGCAGCAGGAGCAGGAGCAGCACCGGCAGGAGCAAGGATGTGACCAAAGCCCGCAGCAGGCGCAACCCCAACATCTTTCGCAGCAGCAACAGCAGCAGCAACAGCAACAGGCCCAGAAAGCATTGTCACCTGAATTAAATCACCACCGCCATCATCATCATCAGCAGCAGCAGCAGCAGCAGCAACAACAACTACAACAGCAGGCGGCTGCTACTGCCAGGCCGCAACTGGGGGGAATATTGAGCAGTACCTGCAGTGGCGGTGGCGGCAACGCCAGCGCCGAGCTGCTGCAGCACTTCGCGTTGGTTGAATCGTCGCCATTGGCGGCGGCAGCGCCGGGGTCTGCGTCTGTACGGGACGAAGCGTGGGGCGCCACTGGTGCGGGTGCCGCCGCGGGCGGCGGCAGCGCCCTTGCAAGCGGCCTCTTTAGCGGCAGCGGTGGCGGCGTTCTAGAGTCGCCAGCCCGCCCCGTCGGCCCCCAGGTGTTCGAAACCGAGCCTTGGGTGAGTTATCCCGCTTTCCGCACACGTGTCTTAAGTCTATTTCCATTCCTCCGCGCTGGCGGGTCCGTAGCTAGCTGTGCTGCAGCTAGGCTAGCTGTCTATGTCTTGTGTGGTAATTAAACCCAAGACGACTGGCGTCTCTGTTGGTTGTCGTGTTTGAAGAGCGGCAGTGTATTCCATGCTATCATCAATACTTTTCAGGTGGCGTCCTCTGACATCTCCCCCATCTGCCATTCCTCCCCATTCCCCCCTTCCACAGGGCCCTCGCGGAGACCCGTCTGTGTCCGGCACCGCGATCTACCCGCCTATCCGATATGAGGACCTTGCTTGAAATCAGGAAGATCTGCCGCTCGTGCCTACCCCTTGGCTGGGCGGGTGATGGCTGAATGGAGGAGCAGAAAAAAAGGGGGATGTCACTTTCTTTGATTCGTTCGAGTGAAAGTGCTGAACCAGGTTATGTCCTCTCTGGGCAGCCTGGTGGCGCATTCAGGCGAGGGATCTTAAAGGGGCGGGGTTTTTTCAGCTGACACTATGTGACTTGTAAGGATTGCAGACAGATGGGCGCTGGTCTTGGTGCAAGATAAACCCACTGCTTTCTGGTGGGCGCAGAGTTGCGCCATTTACTTCTTTTGCCTTGTTTTGTGTCGTCGCCCTGGTAGCGGGGATTGGCTGAAATAGCAAATGACTTGGGAGTTATAATAGACCGCTGCGAAGGCAATGCGGAGTATGTGTAGTTGGTGGTATGCGACCGACGAAAATATTTCTCGGATGGGGGTTTGGTTGCGAGTTTAAGCAACGTGAAGAGGTTATGGCAGGGGGTGTACACGGGGCTCAATGCGGGGATGGGTGTCTGCTTGCCGTATCATGCTCTCTTTACACGACTAGGCTGGTTGCTTGAACAGGCACCTTTTTCGAGAAGGCTGTGACGCGATATGATATAGCTAGAAAGCTGACGGCCTGAGATGTGGGAAAGCTGCGAGCCTTGCCGACCACAAACAGAACATACCTTCTCGGTAGTAAACGAATAGTGACAGACATGGCAAATGTGTGACTGAGCCCAATGGCTATTTAAAATTCCGTCATCCATTATTTTTGTGCCAAACAGTCTGTCCTCAAACTATGCGTAGTGGTAGTGACTGGAAGGCGCAGCACCACATCCATCATTATGCCAGGCTCTGTGTAAGCTTTGGGTAATCACCCACACTTGCTCTTGCTCCACCTGTACAACAGCCTAAAAGCAATCCAGCATCCTGCAACTAATGTAAGTTCACCCCACTGGATGGGGCCTTGTTGCCGGGTAATGTCGGGAGACTTCCCGGCAGACAGTGGGCCCAACCGCCATCCTGCCCTATGGAACCCACAGAGCATCCCTCTTACACGCCTATGCTTCTTCTTACACCCCTCTTACAACCTCGCTTCAAGGCTATCAAAAACCGACGAGTCACCTGGTCAACCCGGCTGTACGCAAGTCCGTGCCCTATTACCCGTCCTCTTCGTGGGACAGCGTGTTCCATGAGAGAGGAACTCCAGTTCAAAAGAAACATCCTTAGATGCCGGTACCTATCCCATAGCTCGCGAGGTCCAGGGCTGCTGCGTCCAAGGCCCTATAGACCTTGCTAGAAAGCAGGCGCTTGCCAGCAATCGGATAAAATAGCAACCACGGAAGGAATAGCACTGTCAAAATGATGAAAAAAATGGCGGAACGCTGCGTGTCTGCGTGGCAGAAGAAAGACGGGCACTCTGTCAATGGAATATGACCTTGTGCCTTGTTCAAAGCAAACCCTCCATCCATACACTTACATCGCTTTATGACAGGGTCTCCACGTGGAGAGCGGAAATCTGGCCAAAAGAGCCAAACGTTGACAGCCCACAGGAGAGGGAGGAAGCAGAAGCCCCCAAAGAACACTGCCAAACGTTACAGGGTATCAGTGCCATTTTTTAGCACCTCTGATATGCAGCTAAGCTTACTTCGCCGACTCAACGTCCTGGCTTTCGCGAAGGGTATAATTTCATAGTCCACAGTCTCCACCACTTGCTCATAGCTATTAGCCTCCCCGTCGTTATCCACTAATGGGCTGCTCATCGTTCACGAGTTATGAAAAGTTGCATAGAGCGGAACGCGAATACGCGATACCAATGTCAGTGACCAGGAAACCAAGAGAGTGCTTTCCAGCAATGTTAATGACTACGTCGATGTGTTAAATAAATCTAAAGAGCTCCATTCCAAAATGGACGCTAATCTGAAAGCTTGTCCGTTATGGTACATGTATGTACTTAGCAATGGCAGGGAAGACCAAGCCAGTTCAAATCATAGAGTGTGAGCAGACAACGGCCAATCGACAACATACCAAATCATATGTCACAATCCGCGTTTCCACCAGTACCGAAACCAGTACGACTTCATCGCGCGCTAGTTCTTGATTCTAGCATAATATGCACGGGACCTCCGGTAAGCCTCATTGCATGTCACCCGTCAAAACGTTATCCTCCAATGCATCGGCATGCGGGGACCTCCCGCAACCTAACGTAAAACCGAAATTAAACGGCTGGTCAAAAGTCAGTAATGGGCAACCTGCAACAAGGTCCTGCAAAACCGCCAAGCACGCAAGCTTCGCGCATGGCTCGACAAAGGCCCGCATTCCTCAGCAAACGCTGGATTTACACCGCCTAGAGTAAATAATCAGCACTAACCAGCCCGCCACACACCCATCCATGCCAGTCAGTCGATCTCATGCAACGAGTTGCTGCTCTCACGCACGTCACCACAATTCAACCCAGTGCAACAAAACTTCTCACAGCACTTTACGCAACTAACGGAAAGGCTGTGGACGGTGCCGGCCCGCCCAGTTGCCCTATCCCTGCATGCTGCAAAGGCGCCTCGCTGCCGCTCGCCGGCTGTGAGACACCGCCGGTTTGTTGCTGCGGCGGTGGCGGCGGAGGCATGCTTCCCTGCCTCATTGCTGGCGGCTGCGGCGGCGCCAGCGCAGCCGCCAGCGCCGGCGGCATGTGCGCCATCGTCAGCAACTGACCAGGTGGGGGTAGAGGTGGAGGCAGTTGTGCCATGGCAGCCAAGGGGTGCTGCGACTGAGCCCCTATTCCCCCGAATGACAGCGGTGGAAGCAAAGACCCCGACCCAGATGGCAGAGAGGCCGTCAGCTGTCCTACCAGCTGGGACACAACCGGCGGGTGCTGCGACGGCGGCCCCGAGCCCGAGTGCGCCAATCCGTACGGCGGCGGGAGGCGCGAAGGTGGACCAGACCCTTTCGGAAGCGCCAAGGGCGGACCCAGCGGCGGCAACGCCAAACCCGGCAGCGACGCATGCGCATGCTGAATCTGCTGTTGCAACGCCTGCAAGGTCTGGAATTGTTGCTGCTGCTGCTGGAGGTGGTGGTGGTGGTGATGCTGCTGCTGCAGCTGTTGCTGCGCCTGTTGCTGCTGTGCAGCCGGATGGTGAGAACCTTGGTGGTGGTGCTGTTGCTGCTGCTGCTGGCTCTGCTGGTGTTGTTCTTGGTGCTGCTGCTCTTGGTGCTCTTGCAAGTGCTGCTGTTGCAAGTGCTGCTGTTGCAAGTGCTGCTGCTGCTGCTGCTGCTGCTGCAAGTGCTGTTGCTTTTGCTGCGGCTGCTTCTGTTGCTGCGACGACGGTACCTGTATCCCTGTCTGCCCCTGTTGCTGATGTCCCTGTCCCTGCTGCTGCCCTACCGCGGCAGCTTGAGCCGGTGGCTGCTTTTGCTGCTGCTGCCCCTGCTGTTGCTGTTGTTGTTGCTGAAGAAGCTGATGCTGCTGATGATAGTACGCTGCCGCCGCAGCCGCGGCGGTTGGATAGTTGTATGCCAGCGGATTTCCCGGCGCCTGCGCTGCGGCAACAGCTAAGTGCGCCAAGGCAGGGTCCGGCATCGGCGAGAGACCCTGCAACCCCGCCGCTACACCTGCACACATTCCAACACAGCAGCATCACCAGCGCGGTACGTGCACAGGTACTCACCAAAACAGAAACAGAGCATCCTTTTCAACCCTGCCAACAAGACGACACTGTAAGGAGCGAAATAGGTGAGATGCAAAGTTTGCACTGCCCATGCCTGATAAAAAAATCCAAACGCTCTACCATACTCTAGTCAGCCGCATCCAGTCCCCCTACGGTGAGGAGACCCTCTCCTCCCTTACTCCGAAACCGGACACCAGTTGCGAGAGCGCACTATTCGAAGTTGTGCTCACCGTTCGGCGGCTGCCAGTGCAAGACTAGCCCGCCCGCCGCAAGCGGGTTGGTGAATGGCGGCTGCTGCACCTGCTGCTGCTGCTGCCGTGCCTGATGCTCCACCATCTTCTTGAGGACATGGCTATCATCATGTATTTGGAACGGGGAGCTGCAGGGTAGGGAGACGAAAGAGAGGAAAAGCAAAGTGTGGACACGTGTGGCAAGTCGGTAACTACAATTTCCGAGAAGAAGACAAACCATCATCAGTGCGGAGCGCAGAATTCAGTTTGCCCAATCCTTTCATTATGGCAGGAATATCCGGCAACACAACCTCTGTTCGGCAAGTGCCTTGACATCCAACACAGTGATGCTTACCTGTAAAAGTCAAACTGCACGTCCATCATGTCCTCCGAAATTTTCACCTCCACGGTCGCGTCTGGCTTTGCCTGTAGCGATCGGACCCAAAACAGCCTCAATTAACGGCAACCAGCATGCCGCACGCCTGCGACACCCACACCCCAATCTGCGACCTCATTAAGGAAACCTCCGGCTCCCAAACACGGTCAGCGTCGCGCATACCTGGTCCGTTACCGTCACATCATCCAAAGCCCCCGTCATCCAGGCATGGCGTGGCCCTATTGAAGACGGAGGGCATCGTTTCGGGGCCCATAGCTTTCCCAGTAGCTCCCAACACCCGCTCCTTCCATGAGACATGCAGAGCAAGGCTCTTCACCGTAGGCCGCACCCGCGGAACCCAAAGCACGCCCACGCATCTTCAAACCGCGCACTCACGCACCTGGACCAGGATGAAGGGCAGGAACAGTTGTGTTCCCGTTGCGGCGTTGCCCCGCGCCGCACTCCTTTCCAGCAGCTTCTTAAGTGCCTTCTGCTGCTCAATCATGTCCTGGTCATTCCAGTGACCAAATCAAGCAAGTTGTTGCAGTCAGCGCTTCGATTTGTAAAAAGATGAAGTGTGATGATACGCGACGAAGAGGAACTCGCTGTCCTGTAAGCCCCGTTTCCCTTCACATGGTCACAACCCTGCCATGCCTTAACGCAAAGCGCTAGACGCTAGGTAGTTTGGTTCTCTGGTACCGAATCCTCCTATGATGATTCGCCGCGGCCGCTCAAGCGGTGCGCCAGGTGAAGCTACGGGTTGTGCTGTGTGCATGTCGCGTCATCCAAATGCAACATGCCTTCTGGAAAGTTGTTTACTGCCCCCCAGGAAAGAAAACCTGACCAGACCACCTTAAATCCCGTACAGGCACACGCACGCACTTGAAGGTACAGCTGCTTCTGCTCCACCTCCTTTATCCTGGCCAGCCTGTCCGCCTTCAACTTTTCCAACGAGTGATTGCCGAGACGCGGGAAGCCCTTCCACATAATTTCCTTCTTCTCCTTCTGAATGATGTCCATCGCCATGAGCACGTTGATGGCGTCGTACACGCGACGCCGAATGTTCTTTTCATCGTACTGCCCATTTTTGTTGGCTGCCTCCATCTTGCTCATCTCGCTAACCAGTTCGTCTGCCACCTCGTTGTACGTCGTGCGGCCCTTCGCCTCAACCTTCTCGCACACCTTCATGCTAAAGTGGCGCAGACCCTTGCTACCCGACCGGCTGCTCGACACATCCGCCCCCCGCGAGGTTTTCCGGCGCTTTGAGCTCCCGTCCGTGCCTCCGGAGCCGGCTGTCCGCAGGTTATAGGAATTTACCAGCTGATGGAGACTCACTTTGGCTAGGTGGAGGACCTGTATCGCATGCGCGGTCGCCACGTCCGACATCTGGTTCTTCAAGTGGCATTGATGTATGTCGTTAGGCTGCGTGGGCTGAGGAGGAGGGTTGTTGTGGCCTACGGCGCCCGGACGTGATGCTGACGACAGGCCAACATCCCCTGCGTTTATACACATGGATTGTCAACGAATGGCAGCCTAAAACATTAGTTGGGCAAATCGGGTATTCGATGCCCTTACCTGGGGCTTCCGTTAGGCGGCTGAAATTCACCTCTTCCGCGAACTCGAGTAAGCCCTTTGCGGTAGCACCCGTGCACGTATACAAGATGACAGCACTAATGGTTTTCGATCAAGCACACCATAACATAAGCAATTATATGTCTTACCAACTCATGGAGCTCTTGCACAAAGTGCGCACGGTCCTGTGTTCCCAGGGGATCCTGCACTTGTGCCTGTCCGGGGCGTTCAAGACGCTGCTGCTGCTGTTGTTGTTGTTGTTCACTCATTCTTCTCTGTATATCTGCCTACTCGTCGTCGGCGCGAGCCGACCACAGCGGAGCAGGAACAGCGTGCAGCCAAGAGCTCCTTCTCGGGACCAACCCGAGCCGGAGCGGGCCGCAATCCAGACGTTAGTGCATTTCCAATCTAGTAGTATTGTAGGACCACTGCACAGAAGGCGAATTGGCGTCGGGCTTGACAGCCACGTTAGCGAAGAGCAGAGGACTCTACACGTCTGCGGCGCGAGGAGCTGCGACACAGTCAGGCCTGTGAACCAAAAGCATGCACCAATAGTTACGTGTTGCAATTGCCGCGGGGATGGTGGGCGGTGAAGGGTTCTGTTCCCGCCATTCGGGCATTGTGCAAGTACGACCTGACCTTATGTGCTTTACCAACCCTTCAGCTAGCTTCGTGTGAATAAAGGCTTCATTATATATACGGCGTTCACAACTCTGTTTACATGTTGGTCACGCTGTTAGCCTCAACCCTGCTGGAGCAACGCTGGCCTTTTAGCCCTTTCAGCATCTCCGCAAATCAATCTCCTTACAAAATATGTTTTTGCTGTGTACCATAACCGCCTGTCTCCACAGCCTCCGCTGGAAGAGGTTTTACCTGCATGCCGAAGCAATTCTGAAGTCACCGCTGGAATGTCAACGCATGCGTCACATTGAAACACGTCAATCAATAAGTGTCTCCTAACTTGCTGGGTTTCGATGAAGGCTTCCGTTTGTCTAAGCTCCGCTGGTCCTTGTGGCGGTGGAAATCTGTGGGACGTATGACAGCACCCACAACAAGGGCAGCTAAGAACCTGTTCAATTGGTTAACTTACGGCGATTACGGTGCTGACTTTAGTGTATGTGCTCCTGGTCACTGCAGGGCTATGACGAATAGGGTTTGCCCATACTTGGGCCACCCCTGAACACCCGCCTTACACAGTAACTTTGCCGAGGGAGGGAGCTGGAGGCAAGATATCCCCCACCCCGTTGGTGGTACCTGGGCGCCATACTAACCGGAACGCGCACGGTGTTTACAGCAGTCGGAAATCGTTTAAGCATATCCCAGACATACCCGTGATGCACACACGCGCATACACACACAGAGAACATTCATCTTGTCTTATCCACACGCTAGTGCTTCCTTATTGTAATGAGCTGTCCGAGCTGTCCAATACTCACGGACGAAACAAAGATCTACAAGACAAGGGCAAGAAAAGCACATTACGAATACGACTGCTGCCCCGTTCAACGAAAGTCGTTTCCAACCCAAGGCCGTCTGAGCTGCAAAAACGCAAAGGAGGCCACCTTGCTCGTGGGCCTAATGCGGGGCTTATAATCCTCGTACGGCAACCCACTCGATCAATTGATTGACCGATATGCGCACTGACAGTGCTCATATCAGGTCGGGTCGGCAGCACCGCAACCACTACAACCGCGGCCGCCATCAACCAGCGTGTATAAATCGCTACAGACACCACCTCCATTCACTCAACTCGGCAGCAACCCCTCCTACGGCATCACCTCCATCACACAGCACCAGAAAACGCTCCCACCATGCAACATAGAAATACAGCACGCACAACTTCATCCAATCAAGTCAAAACCGCAAGCGATGTGCCAGTTCCCCCCACGTAATTGACGCCCGGAAAAACAACCTTTTACAGCGCAGGAACACACTCACTGTGCCTCTAACCCACCCCGTCCGCCCCACCTCCGCCCGCAAACAAGACCCACAAGCCACTCGCTCCGTCATGCACACGTGCTGAATCCCGAAACCCAACCCAACCCAGCCCAGCCCAGCCCAACAAGCTCGTCCGCTTCACTTTGTGCTTCAGAAGGAAGGCCGTGGAGGAGGACGTAGCGCCCTTACAGCACTCTCAACAGCAGCTGGAAAGCCTCTTAAAAGCGGCGAGGTCATACATGCAAGGGCGTGCTGCGGTTCACCGCTCGCCACAGCGCTTTTGCAATGCACAGCTGGGAGAAAGCCCGCCATTTTCGCCATCACACAACCAGAAGGAACCACCAATAGGGCGACACCGCCAGGGGGGCCGCTTCCAGCCGACACCCCATCCTCAATTTGCCGCCAGCGGCTAATACCATAGACGTGCGGGGGACATCTACGCCGTGAGCTGCAGCTCAACCTCACGCTAGGTCCCATCCCTTCGGCACTTCCCCCTACCTCCGAGGGGGGAGGCCTTCTCAGCAAAACCTCACCAGCATCTCCTCGCTGCCGTTGTCATCGCCCTCGTCGTCGTGGTCAAACAGCCCAGCTATGAAGTTCAACGAGCGAGACAAAACCATAACCATCATCCATCATTACAGTGTCGCCATCGTAATGGCTACAAAATCCTTCGGTGTGGAATGATCTGACGGAAGCCGCATGCCCCTCTGTGTGAGCGCCTTTGGTTTCCAAAGACCGCGCTTATGCATGCATTGCTGCTGCTGCTGCTGCTGCTGCTGCTGCTGCCGCAACTGCCGCAGATGCCAGTGCTGCAGCTCAGCCAAACCCTCTTCCGTGCCAAAACTTAAACCGAGTTAATCGAGTGGATGCCTCCGCCAAGTCGATCATTGCGCTGAATTCGGAGCTCCTTTCCGAACATGCAATCGCTGGCGGATTGCTAACCGATTGCTAACCGACTGCTGCTGCTGCTGCTCCTGCTGCGGCTGCTGTTGCAGCTGCTGCTGAGCTTTGTCCCTTGCGCAAAAGTAGCTGAAAAACAGCGCAAAGGAAAAAAGTCCATAAGTACCAACGCCGAAAGAAACACATATATAAGCCTGTTGCCGCCCACCTTTGAACCCGCCAGAGATGACGTATTCATTTCACCTCCACCTCCACCACCTTCACAGCCGTCGGTATTTCACAGGGGCGCGTGGGCGTGTTGCCCGTCATCCTCTTTTTCTTCTTCTTCGTTCCTTCTCCCCTCCCAAGGCATAAACACACATCCATGCACTCACTCATGTCCAGTTACCATCCTAAGCCACCCTCCCCCTTCCCCTCCCCCGCCTCCTCCTCCTCAGGGCCCTTCGAGCTCCAGCGGCTTCTGCACCGTGCGGTCCGACCAGCGGAAGCAACGCTCCAGGGAGTCGAACCAGTCGCTGGTGAGGTCGGTTCGGTTGATGGTGGGTACTGGGTTCTCCGACATGCGCACCTTGACGCTGTCACCGCGGCCCAGCTCCTGGTCACAGACAAGGGTGTGGGTGGAGGACGAAGGAACGAGAAGATGGGCGGGGATGTGGTGGGCAACCTCCTCCATCTGGCCTAGGGAATCTGGCCTAGGTTTAATCCTTGCCTTAGTACCAATCTCTTTAATGTCTCCACCTTTCTGTCCAGTTATTCACAGGATGAAGACCTCCACGCGCGACTGCAAGCGACTATTCCAGCAACGTGATGCCGTGCGGCGCATCGCACCTCCCCTGCCTCCTCCCCTGCCCCTGTCCACACCGCACCGCAACCGCACATACATACATACATACATGCACACATACATCATGCGCACCTGTCGTGAGCGGCCGTCGAAACACACCCAGGCGGTGCACCGGGCGTTATCGGGGATGCGCAGCTCCAGCTCTGCGTAGTCGGGCAGTATGATGGGTCGGAAGCTGAGCGAGTGGGGGCAGACCGGCGTCAGCAGTATGGCGGGGACGTTGGGGTGCACCATGCTGCCGCCCGCAGCCACCGAGTAGGCGGTGCTACCTGCGGCGGAGCGAGGGGTTGGATCGGGGTGGGGTGGTGGGGTGGGGTGGTGGGGTGGGGTGGGTAAGACGACCGGCGAATAAAGCCGATACCAGAGGGCGGGGTGGGGCGGGGCGGAGTGGGATGGGGTGGGACTAAAGAGTAGGAAGGTGCCGGGAGGGGCTGTGGGGGCTACTGGGGACAGCTGGGAGAGGAGGTAAGTTGGAGACCAGGAGGAAGGGGAAGAGGAGTAGCCACGGAGGATGAAGCCCATTCACGGTGCAGCGTTAGGCTGCCCACTCGGCCCCCCGACCGTAGCTCGGGAAACGCGGCGAGGAATACACATACATACATACATACATACATACATACATACATACATACATACATACATACATACATACATACATACATACATACATACACATACACACACAGGCACGCAGACAGGCCCGCAAACAGACAGAAGCTCCGGGTCTGTACCCACCAGTGGGGGTGGCCAGCATGATGCCATCCGCCTGCACGCGGGCAATGAATCGCCCCTTCTCGTAGCACTCAATGTTGGTGAGGAAGGCGCTGGAGCCCCGATCTATGACCATCTCATTCAGCACCTCCACGGACTGCTCCGGGCCGCTGCCGCCCTTGCGCCAGATCTCACACACCAGCCGCATGCGCAGCGTCACCATTACACCTGCGTGTCAGCGGGCCGAATGAATACATACATACGCACGCCTTCAAAAGCATGTGTACACCCCGCGTCCTGGACACCCGCCTCCGGGCCCCCCCCCCTGGAGCTCCTCCTCAACTCTTTAAATCCCACACGGGCTTCTCTCCCTCTGCCTCCACCCATTCCCACCACGCCTCGCCTCCCTCCTCACACCCCGCGACTTGATCGTTCCCTGCAAAGCTCTGCGCTCCGTTCTTCAGGCCCTGCATCCGCCCCCTTCATCCTCTGTGTACTCTACTTACTTACCCCCCCTACCAACCCCCCTACCACCTCCCCACTACCACCCCACTACCACCCACTGCCCCCTACCACCCCCCCTACCACCCACTGACGCCCAGCACCACCCACCCACCCAGGCTGTTTCCCGGCTCATCCATTGAGTTGACCGAGTCCAGGGACAGCAGCGTGCAGCTGTCCAGTTTCTGTCCCCCGTAGATAACGTCCATGAGGTCCCGCCGGAAGTTGGGAAAGTCGTGGTTCGTCAGGAAGCCCATGGAGCCCATGTTGAAGGCGATGAGCTGCGGCCAGACAGCGGGGAGGCAGCGGGCAGGGTGGCGGCAGCACTCGTTCATCCATCCATTCATTCATTCATGTCACGAGGGCAGCTGCCCCGCCGCCCTACCCCGTTCACTGTGGGTCGCATCCCCGACCCTGCCACGGATATGCCGGCTGGCAGGATCGCAACTCCCCCCCCCCCCCACACACACACCCTTGGGACCCAGATCCCCCACTTGGGCTCCGACCCTTACATCTCACTTCCTAGGACATGTGAGGTGACCTGCTCGCCTGCTTTGGAGTTGTGGCTGGCGACCATCCAAGCATCCACACCCTCCACCCATCCAAACCCACATCCCCCTAGCCACATCCAACCACATAATTGCCCATCCACACCCTCCAGCCGTCCCTTGAAGGCAGGGGCCCCACACCCCGGCGAGGGGCTCTACGGTTCTGAAGTGTGTGGTGCCTGTGGTGTGTGTGTGTGTGTGTGTGGCCAGCCCCAATGGTGGGGACTCCTGCCCCAACCTGGCTCCTTGCCTCACTCTACACACAACCCCGCACCGCACCCAGCGCCGAATGGACAGGGGAGTGGAGGGGACGGGAGACGGGAAGCGCCTGGGGTTCGCGGGCAACCGCGTGTATCCCATATCGGCCATATCGGCCGTTCGTCAGACACACGATTGAGCTTTCCTTTTCTTCCGTGTGTAAAATGTTCCCGAAGTTTCTTCCCAGCCGCCTGGAGTCGAAGCCATGTCAGCCCCAAACCCCAGCTCGATACCCACCGGGGGTATGCTGTGCTTGAATAGGCAGGAGGAGTGCAGGATGACTCCGTCCCCTCCGATACAAACCACGAAGTCCACGTACTCCGCTAACCTGGAGGGCCAGCATTAGGAGCAGCCGCAGCAGCAGCCGCAGCAGCCGGAGAAGCGAGGAGGAGGTTAGGGTGATAGACGGGGTGGACATCCTGCCTGCGGGTGGCGATCATGGTCCCAAAGGCCGTGGTGCGCATCCCCCCACACACCCTTCGCCGTCCCTTGGCACTACACAAGCGCTAGCTGGGCGGGGCCCTGCCTTGGCTGCGTCTGGTGCGCACCTGTCTTTATCACTGGCAGTGAATGTGTAGACGTAGGGGTAACCGGGTCGGCCCCGCAGGAACTCATCATATACGTGAGGCTCCACCACGACACGCAAGCTGTGCTCTCTCCCCAGGAAGTCTATCACCTCCAGAAAGGGCTGGAGCAGCTCATCGCCGAGCTTCATAATCACCATCACGCTGCGAGGGGATCGGGAGTCAGGCAGGTGGCACCCGGGCTTTGACTGCTGCAAATCGCCCCGCCTTGGCATCTGGGGAAAAGCTCAAGGACTGCCGGCATGCGTACCTCTTTGGTCGATGCCGCCATACGAGCAGGTGCTGTTGTGTGCTTGGATAAGCGAAATGTAGCTTTCCAGTTCCTGCCACGATTGCGAAAGCGTGCCCTCAAGTTTAGGCTAGCGGGGCTTTTACTTGCAAGCTCGGCTACTCGTACCTGTCACAAGCTCGCGAGAGCAGCTCTTTCCATCCGTCCGCAAAATGTACAATGACGACTTCCTAGGCCAGTTTTTGCTCCTGCGCCATTTCGGGATATGGAGTTGCTTGGTCTGGCGCGTTTCGCTACAAGAGATACCAGTGAGCGGTATGTGCACCTGATGGTAGGTGTGGGAGCACTTGTTGAAGGTTCTGATGTAGCAGGATCAGCGACAATTGCCTCGCTGGTCGGCAGAGCTGCGAGGTCGGTGGTTCCCTGAGCTCGGCAAGTCCCAGCTGAGCGCCGTGTTCTACATGCCCCATGCACAAATGTATGTCTGCAGGTGCCTAAGCTGCGAACTGCGCCAGGGTCTCGTGCAAGCCCTGGCATCGTGGGACCACCTAGCGACAAAAACGCGGTCCGGAATGCTCTCCGCTAACAAAATAGTATGATGATAATATCCACACAATGTTGCTCAAAGTGGCCCGAGCTATCTCATTCCCGTACGTCAGGCATTTTAGATATAAATCTTGGTTGGTACCGTTTAAAGATGCCGTTCCACCCAATGTCTGAGACTTTACAGTCCCACCCTGAGCATTCTTGCGTTCCACGTTGCGTATCGGAATACACACGCCCACGGACATGATAAACGTCGGGATGCATGTATATCAGTATAGAATGCCTGCAACACGTACGTGCAGCTGATATTGACAAATGGGTGTGCCCTGCTGACTACAAAAGCCGCCCAGCACGTGCGGTGTTCTTTCGGCCTTTTTGCCCTGTCCTTGTGCTGTGAATGCCTGTCCGTTAAGGTCAAAGGGGTTCAGCCATTGCGCATAAGACTTTGGGGCTCCAGATCGCAGCCTGACCGCGTTGCCATCAACATCGTTACTGGGTGGACGACGGGCTCTCCACGAGTTACCGGCGATCGAGTGCTTGACAAGCATTCCCCCAGCAGCCGTGAAGTGGGGTTTTTTTGTATAGGTCAGGAGCGATACGGGACCTTTGTCATGGCCTGTCGTGGCCCCATCAACTCGGCGCTGTCGGAATCCACACGGTGCCCATGAATCTCTATCTCTAGTTACAAGTTCTGCACGAGTGCGGGGCCGTCCGTCAAAGCCGGGAGGCCATGCACTAGATAAATTGAAAGTTGATTCCACCGTACAACCGATGGTGGTTATTTGGTCCTGCTACCTAGACCAGTGATACTATCTAGTGATACTACGGGCTCCACGGAGTTCTTATGGGAGACTCATGTTACCACGCTCGTCGTGTCACTGCAGAGCAGGGAAAACACGTAGCAAAGCAGCAAGTCCTATACAAGCACCAACGAACCTGGCTATGCCAGGCTATGGGGTTTTCCACTGCCGCAGTTTCCCATTCCGCACTCAGGTTCACGGCAGCTGTTGCCTCGATATCCAGACACCGCTCCCCTCCCCAACACCGGTTACACTTGATGCGCTACACGTTAGCTCCGGGGGGAGCCCACTACAACAATACTGAAACACTAACGACAGGCACCGCACAGTAGTTTGTATACACATATAACCAGCACACAGCTTACGAACGCTGCTACACCATAGGAAATATCCAATGTTTTTACAAGTTACACGATGGTTACAACCTCGCCGATGGTCGGGTCCACAGCTGCGGAGCTAGGAGTACCCCGGTGGAGGCGCCCAGGTAGGGCGGAAAGTCGTCCCGTGATCGTGCATGTGGTTTACAATTTGCAGGAGCAGCGCATTGCTGACAGTGGGTTGGGGGAGTTAAGGGATTATAAGGCAACCATTATGGTGAACGTTGAGCAGACGCCCGTAGCTTTACCTGACTAATTACTAACGGCATTAGCTGTCATCTGGTGACGGGCGCGTTGCATTGGCAGCCCTGGGATGCATGTCCTCAAAACTGTGGTGTACAAACCTGACAGATGCTCTTGTGTGCTTGCTTTTCATGGCATGACGCCGTCACAGAGATGTGCCTGATTAGGAGCATTGCGCCCGGCGGGCGGGCCTGTATGAAACGTGATTTCTCCTCTCCGTACTTCTCCCGGTTTTCGTAAGCGCACGCAGCGTCATATGTCGTGGAAAATCCGCGTACCAGCAAACCATTTGCCCAGGGCATGGAAATGCAGGCTCAAAGCCGGAAGGGCTCGATAAGACCTAATAACTATAGCACCTCTTCGTGAGTCTCGAGCCCACTGTAGCAGCCACATACACACACAGCTATAGCACCAAGGTCCATACGAATGTCCTGAAGTGCGTACAAGCTTGATTTACTTCCTGCTTATGATTTCCCTGCGTTTTGCCTGTGATGTAAGAACGTAATGTTTGACTTGTTTGCACCGTAGCCCCTTCCTGTGGGGCTTTCAGTGACGCTACGGGACATGAGGATGAGTGCTGTTAAACGGGTAGGAAGTAGCTTGCAGCCCGAGTGTTTATAAAGGTTTCAAGAATGATGTATTGCAGTGCTAATTATGTTGCTTGCATTTCGTATGTTCCAAGGCACGTTGGCTGCTCGCCTGCCATTGAGAGCTAAGGGAGTGTCCCACGGTTCGTCGGCTAAACATCTTCACGGTATGTCAAAGGTACATAAAATGTACTTGGACTGAAATTGTTTGGAACACCTCCTGTAATACGCCACCTTGAGATCCTTGAACTGGTAAGGCCTTGAACTGGAATTGCTGGGAAGTAGAGTCGTTATACGGGTAGTTGCTGCACTCAGAAAGGTCAGGAATTCTGGTAAAACCGGCATGTGCATAATCCAGTAGCAGACTCATGAAATGAAGTATGAGCGGCAGGCCGTGGAGCGGCTTCGCGACAACAATTATTAAGTAGATGAATGCATCTACATTGATCACCCTAACTACTGTACAGAATATAAATACTGTTGAGGAAAAGAATGTCATGAGTGGCGTGCCCGTTTATTTGTTATACGAAGCTCTGTCTCTGTCCTTGCCGACATTACCAGGCTTGACAACTCCTTGACACCGAAAGCGTAAACATCTTTCATCATTTATCATTCAACGCCTTCCAATGGTAAGTCATAGTGTTGCTTGTTTATTGAACGTTTCTACCGCGCAAAGGTTTTAACATTTACTGTCTCCATGGCCTTTCTTCAGCCTGCTCTCAAGCTCCTTGGCCGAAAATGGCACATTGCGACCGACGATTTACCGCTGCCGAGCTTAATGGGGGCAATTTGGCACATTGGCGTCCTCATCCTCAACAGCATTAACCTATCTTTTGTGGTGGAACAGCTGGACTCCTCCTGCCCCTACCGTGGCCGTTACATTGCATACTTGTCATCGCATCAGTTCTGCTTCGTAGTCAACAGCATCTTGCACGTATGGACATTCTTCGAGAGCAGCAGAGGTACGGCACTGCTACCGTACAACTAGTACTGCCATTCATCGCCGACTTGGGGTTCCCTCAACAGCCCTGGCAAACGCATGTAAGGCAAGCCGCTCTTGCCCTTCGTCCGCCATGTAAGCAAAACCAGGGCGGTTCAGAAGTCTCTGACATCCGGCGGGGGGGGAACCCCAGGCGTCTAAGAAGGCCAGCTAAGAGTTCCGGCGGAAATGTGATGGCGCATGCGGAAGAACCTGGCGTACCCGACCAACCCGTCCTTTCACACACTGCTCCCATCCTTGTTCCCCGTGAAATGAACAGATTCCCGCCATCATTGAAGATTCGGAAGCGCACAAACAGGGAATAGCCATTTCCACACAGCAAAGGTCGTCTTGGCGGCTTAGCAGCTTTCCACAGAATGCGTCCGCGCAACCAATTACGCACGAGCCACACCATGGCGACGATCCCAAATCCTCCTATAACCCCCTTCCCTCGCCCCGTGTTTCCCCTTCACACCCCCTCCTCGTTTGAAAGGATCCATTTTTCAGGTCCACCGCCGTCGTCGAGTTGCGCCGCTGGTCCTCGCGATCATGCACTTCTACTGCCTCACTGTAGCCAGCAATGTCTATGGCACTCACCTCCTGCAAATGCAGACTCATACGCCACAATGTCAAACGCTCCCGGGCCGACTCGAACTCAACCACTACGCCCTTCTATCGACAATTGTTGTCGCAACTTGGGTTTCTCTCTTCATCGGATTTCTGGCCATCATCGTTACTCTGAATTTCTTCTCGACTTACCAAGCAGCCAGTAATCGCTGGCTGTCAAGATTGAAGCTGTATCGCTTAGTGTTCTGTTGCTGGGGACCCTGCGGGGACCTGGCGGGAGGCAGTACGTCCCGCGGCGGCGGCGGCAATGATGATGATGATCATGCCGACGACGGCCGCAGTGGCAGCGGAAACTTAGCAGACGCTTCGTCTGGCAGGAGCATGTCGCCCATGGTGGTCATTGCCAATGCTTTATCGCATGTCTTTGGCGGGGTGAGTGCCTGGTCAGGCTGAAGAAAACCTGCATGGGCTTTCGGGTGAGGAGAGCTGTTTCCCCGCCTCCCTACCGTGTTGTTGTCCTCCTCCTTTGCCATATTTTTGTTTTGCTTTTTCCATTTCTTTTTGTTCGCTGGAAAGGAGTCCTGGAGCCCGGTCCTGGCTGTTTGGCAGCCAGGGAACGTCCCTTTCACAATACGGCCCCCTCTGACCCAACACGACTACGACGAACCAATACCCAATACAAAGCACAGATACTGGAGCTGCAGATGACCTTAAAGCTCGCAAGGACGGCGTCCCAGGATGTGTAACCTCCGACAGGCACCTGGATTACAAATACCATTCGCCGCACTTTTCGCATAGGTTTCCAAGGGCAACCAAGTTCCATGCCGTATTTGAACCTTTCCCCCCCCACACACACGTTGTTTTACACGAACGCATATTTATATACATACAGGTGGACATGACCCTCACGGACTACGTCGCGGCCTTTACGCTGCTTGGTGTACGACACAGCCAAACCAAACCCGCGCTTACCTACGCCAATGCGCCGCCACCGACGTGGCTGACGGCGGCGGCAGAGGACGGTTCCGGAGCGCCTTTGAGCGGCGGAGGTGTGGCGCCGTGGTCGCTAGGCGGCGTGCGGGGCCGTCCACCTGGGGATAATATCCTGGAGGCTGTGATGGAGCCGCCAATGCCGGTGGAGGTGGAGGTAGCCCCCACCGGCGACCGGTTCAAGGATGCGGGGTGCCGGGGCGGACAGCTACCAGTCACTTGTACGGCGAAAGCAGCAGCAGGGACGGAGGTGGCGGTGGCCGAGCACATCACCCTGCAGGTGGACACCTCGCCGCGGAGGAACACCTCACTCCCGCGCGCTGCTCAGGCTACCATTGCCAGCACTACTACCGCAACCATCGGCACCATCACCACCATTACCACCGCCACCACCACCACCTCTACCTCTACCAAAGGCATCATGACTGCATTTCCTACCCACGCTGTCAACAACGCAAACGGTACTGCCAACGCGCCCACTACCGTACACACCACCATTATACCCACTACCTCCACTCCCTCCACCGCCTCTGAATCCGCAACGTCTCGGGGGGTTTACGCCTTCGGGAACGCATCTGGGACAGCAAGCCTATCAACAACAGCAGCAGTAGCAGCAGCAGCAACAGCCACTCTAACACCATCAGTGGCACCGCCCGCAGCAGCCAACGCTATCAACGGCGCCGATGCGTCCTCAGCACCCGGGCAGCGGCCTACTAAGGGGGAGGGCAGCACCGATGGCAGCAGCCTAGCTGGCGTCAAGGAGGCGGTGGGGGCTGCTCCGGTGATGGGCGGTCTGCAGGCTCTTGTTCCTCGCCCCGAGGGGGGCCATGCCGCGGAGGAGGGGCAGCGGGAGGGGCAGCAGCGACAGCAGTCTGGGGCGGGGTTCCGAGGGCCCCAGCAGCAGCGGCGGTGGGAGTCGGAAGACCCCAACGTCCAGCCTAACGCTACCGAGGCGGTGAGGTGATGGCTGGACGTCTGAGGGGGGGTGGGGGGCTGACGGAGGGAGCTTTCCGGACTCGTGTGCCCTTTAAGATCTGAGCCGCGAGGGGGAAGCGTATCGCATCTTCATATGTCTGTCTGTCTTTCTGTTTGTGTGCGTGTGTATGTGTATGTGTGCGTGTGTGTCTGTGTCTGTGCGTGTATATGTGTTTTGTTCTCGTCCGTCCCGGCCCTGCCTCCCAGGGTCGGGTAGGGGAGGGATGGTGGCACCGCGGCCCTGGACCCAATTTGGCTCCCTCCCCGAACGTCACTCAACTACCCGCCGTGTCTATATCTCTTTAACCAATCTCCTGCTCCCACACATACGGGCTGTTGTTCGTACTGGTGCCGTACGTAATACATACACACACACGCCCTAGCTGCGCCCAGGTGATGGAAGAGGCCCTCCACTATATGCGGTTCGCTACGGCGGTGTACGGCTGGAAGATGTACCTGTGGATGAACCGGCGGCGGGGTGGGTGGGTGGTTTGGGGGGGGGTCGGCGATGTCCTGAACACCCCCACGAAGTTCGAATTACGAGTAGGTAGGCTTGTATATGTGAATATATGTCGGTGTGTATGTCAATATGTGGGTTGGGGTAAGGAGCCAAGGGCGTGTGAAGGGCGTGTTGGGAAACATGTCCGCTATGCAACCCGCCGTACACCCCCAGCTGTGTATGCAATATATGTACGGCGGATATAAATATACATATCATATATTTATACTTGTATAAATGTACAAATGTATGTATACATATAAATGTATACTATGTATATATATATACACAAATATGTCACAGTCTCTCACACGTACACTGTGTTGACACTATTGTTCACGTTTCTTCGCTTCATATGGTCCCCTGCCCCGTATCCCCTTTTTTCCACCCACCCGCCGTGGGGGGCCCGTCCCTAACCATTCCTACACGCAACGACCCACGGGGCTGGTGCCGCCGGCAGTCGCCAACTGCTGTCGGCTGTGTGTGGGTCGCGGCTGCGGTTGCTGCCGCCAGTCGAGTTACTTTATCCGCGCTGTGGGACCCGACTACGGACCCTCTGAAGTGAGGGGGCGAGTGAGGGGGGGCCCGTGGACGGTTTGTGTGTGTGTATGTGTGTGCAGGGGGGATGGATGGCTGTGGGGGGAGAGTGTGAGCCAACACCACCTTCCCGTCGAGCCGCGTTTGTTTCAGTGGCTTTAGCAACAGCATTAGCAACAGCATTAGCAACAGCATTAGCATTAGCAAACAATACTCTTGATGGTAGGAGTAGAAACAGTAGGGAAAACAGTTGAAAGGATTTGCCGTACAAGGCCATGGACGAGCTGTATGACAAGGGAACCCTTCCCCTCCCTCTGTGCACATGAAAACAAAACCTTTTCGTCTGTTATGCGTCTGGTTAGCGAATAACAATTAGTCTTTGTTGTCTGCACGGTGGTGGTTGTGTTTGCATGGCTGTACGGCCACATAAGTGTGTGGTGGTACGCAGACACGCAGCCTGGGTCACCCGTTTCTTCAGCCATGACGACATTCCACCTCCAAAAACCCTGAAACCCCTCCCCCACACGCTCACCCTCATTTCCCCCTCCCCTCTCCAAACCCCCCAAGGGCTGCTGTACGGCAGCCAAGCTGCTTGAGAGAGAGGCAATTACCCAGCTTACGGGAGTGTCCGATGACGACATTCTGTACGTCTGTTACGACAACCGGGTTGGCGGGCTGCTGCCGTACTACATCGCTCTGGACCGGCAACGGCGCTCCGTGGTGGTGGGGATTCGGGGCTCTCTTTCTCTGAGTGATGTGGTGACGGATCTATTGTGCGAGCCAGCGGAGTACGACGTGCCCGGGTTGCCAAGTACAGTAAGTACGACTGTAGTACGGCGGATGTGATTCGGCGGCCAGTGTACTTGCGTTTGCACTTGTAGTTGTTGTCGTAAGGAGAGGAAAGTATTTTTTCAGCTGCGACGTTTTTACGTCTATGGTTCTATTCTTACCACACCCCGCAATCCACACGAGCAGTATTGGGGGTTCAAGCCATATGGCCAGGTCCACGTCCACATTTATTTCCTTACCCTCTCCATATATTTTTTTATATAGTCCATGGCCCCCCCTCAGGCTTTAATGGACATCACCTCATTCGTCCGGAACATGTAAAGCTTGTAAAACTTGTAACATAACACGACAGCAGCTCCCATGCAGAAACTTCCCTCCGCTTCCCCCTCCCCATCGCCCTGTACACCCTCCCCCCCCCACACGCCGCCCCATCCAGGACGACTGCGGGCGGCGTGTGCTGTGGGCCCATCGCGGCATCCTGGAGTCCACCCGCGCCATCCTGCGGGACATGCGGGCACAGGGGGTGCTGCAGGCCGCCCTGTCGACGTGGCCGGAGGGGCCGGAGGGCCAGCAGGCTCTCCTGCAGCGGCTGCCCTCGGAGCGGGCCAGGGCGGTGGCGACGAGGCTCAAGGGGGCTGCTGCGGGCTTTAGAGTCGTAATCACAGGTCGGCATGTGCGCATGTATGTGTGTGTGTGAGATTGTGTGTGTGTGTATGTGGATTGGGGTGTGGGAGGGCAATCGGTGGTGATGTGGGGTGTCGGACCCGCACACGGCTCTCCGGGGCACCTCCACCCCAAACTCCCTGATGCGGCTGCTGTACGATCAAGCACACTGCCGAAACAGCCGCATTTACGAACCCGGTGGAGTCCCTGAGCGTCCTGAGGGTATTACAAGTAGTTATCTGGCTGGCTTCTAGACGCCACCGTCACCCTCCCTGGACTGCCTCCCCCTTGCCTCCCCCTTCCTCTCCCCCCATTTCCCTCTTTCCCTTTCCAGGTCACAGTTTGGGTGGCGGTGTGGCGGGGCTGTTGGGTCCGTTGCTCCAGGGGCAGTTCCCCGGGCTGCGGTGCTGGGCTTTCGCCCCCCCTGGGGGTCTTATGAGCCCGCAGGCACGGAAGGGAAGGGGGAAGACGGGGGGAGCGAAGGGGGAATAGTTGGAATAAGAAGCCATATAAAACAAAACACTATCAGTGCATTGTTATAAATATATGTGTAATATATGTAATATATATAATATTTATAGCATTTAACAACATTGTTATATGACATGTACTAAACATTATATTACATGTTATGTATATAGTATCGAATAACCTCTACTATAACTGTGGGTGGAAAAAACCGCGAGGGCGAGGGTGAGGTAGACATAGGTCCGGGAGCGAGGCATCTTGGATCTCCTCTAACCTAACCTACCTAACCTACCTGACCTACCTAACCTACCGGACCGGACCGGACCTACCGCACGTTTCCGTAACCTGCTGTCTGATCTTCTTCTCCTCCCGGGGTACGCTCCCCCTTGCACCCCCCAGGCTGCGGAGATCACTCACGGCATGTGCATCTCCCTGGTCCACGCCAAGGACCTGATTTCCCGACTGGGGGTCCGCTCCGTGGAGCGACTGGTGCAGGTGGGGGGCCATGAGGGGGCTGCTGGGGGATACGTGGAAATGCCAAACATCCGGGGTACACCGGGAGGAAGGCGCTTAGGAGGGAAGCCAAGAGCTCTGACGGCGCTCGGGACGATCCAGATGATGATGTTGATGATGTTGACGATGTAATGATGAGAACGACGGTGCGGCGGCGGCGGAGAGTACGGCGGAGGAGGGTGCGGAGGATGCTGAAGCAGCTCCAGTCAGTACCTAGGAGGTTTGCTGGGGGGCTCACGCAAACCCTAACCCCAGCCTGCCCGGGATAATGCGGGGCTACGTGTATGTATGTATGTTGTTACAGGGTGGTTAACTTCGCCAGCGGCCCCCTTTCCCGGGGCAGTCCCTGCTCTCCCCTGCTAGAGGGGCACCCTAATCCGTCACCCCATCCGACTTCAGAATGTATTCGTTGGATTCGGCAACTCACCACAAGCATCCAACCAAATCTAGCGGATTAACGGCGCATCAACTTAGTTCCTGGTTAGCTCGCAAGTTGATTTTGTCACGTCCTACATCGTCCATATGATGGGGGGCCACCTCCCATTTCAACACTCCTCAAACACCCGAGAAGCCGGCAGGCGGATTTGAACCCGGGTCGGTAGGGAGCAGAAGTCAGGCCTTAACCTCTGCCAGCCGCCTGCCTATGTATGTATGTATATATGTATGGAGGGGGGGAAGGGAGTATGTCGTATGTATGTACGACAACTGAAAACATCGCTGATGTCGACATCTAGAATGCGCATGATTTTACGTGTGTCTGTGTGTGTGTGTGTCTGTCTGTGTCCCTGTCTGTGTGTGACCCCTCCACCACACCCTGCCTATGCCCCCTGCTGTCCCCAGGACTTGGTGACTGCCGGGGCTCATTCGCGTGTCAGCAAGGTGGTCATCATGGGCCGCCTTATTCTGATGGGGCAGAGACCCCCCCTGGAGCAGCTCCTGCCTCCAGACACGGCACTGGACCCAGAGCTGCAGAGGGCGCTGGACGACTCGCTCAACCGCAGCCATTCCAATTACAACCGCGGCAGCCGTACCCCCGAGCTGGTACGGGGACGCCAGCTACGCTGCGTCACAGACAGACAGACAGACAGTCGGATAGACCTGAGGTCCTAACGGACTGCCAAGCAGGCAGATATGATAACAGACCAATAGATGGATAGAAAATACGCATACATACATACATAATATATACACATACATACATACGTACATACATACATGGAGTATTGGAGTATTGGCAGTCTGAGTCGGGGTCGGGAGCACACAAGGCTAACCGACTTGTGCTGTGTGTCCCCCGGCTCTCGCGGCCCACAGTGTAATCTAAGTCATACATGGTGCCACGCATTATCTGTCATTACAAACCATTACTGGGTTTAGGCGCAAGGCAGCCAAGATGCCGTATGGATGCCCTTTCGACTGGGTTGCTTATCGTTAACCGTTTTAACCGCTTCCCCTGTACGGAGATGCAATGCCATGTACCACGCCAAGAACATATACTTGTCTTGGTCACATACACACGTGGTTGAACCCCACCCAACCTTCAAGGTGGCGGAGCAGTTTGCGGGTGCACGTGACTTTGTGCCGCCTGGCCACATACTTTACATGGAGCGCCACAAACCACTAGACCTGGAGGAGGCGCCGTGCTGCCGCTGCAATTTGTGTACGCTGAACCTGAGGGCACATAATGCTCGCTACGTATGCCGGTGAGTGAGGGCAGGGAGGGACGCAGCGTGCAGGCGTGTGTGTATGTGCTCGGGAGGGGCTCGCCCCGGGAAGGCGGGTAGGGGGTTAGGAAAGCGGAGACCGCTTTTAAGAGGAGTATAGGAAGGCGCCGGGACGTATCCGTGATCTAACTGAGATCCAGGGCCGATGGAATCAGGGAATGGACAGGTAGACAGAATGGGGGGTCGTGACACGTCGTGTGTCACGCCACCTCGCTGTCACTATCGCCGTCGCCCGTCACTACTATCCAGATGTTCCTCTGGTCGACGGCCTCTAAGTATGTCCTGCTACTCAGAGGCGTCTACATTTGGCATGAACTTTCTTACATTCCATTGCCCGGCTTTTGTGTGTCAGCTTTCACATACATGAATCCAAATCCGTTATTCTGTAGTGGAGTTCTGGTTCCTGGTTCCACGGATCTAATGTGTTTAAGATCTGGTCCGTGGCCTTTCTTCATCTTGGCGCCACAGATGGATCCAGATCCAGGATTTGATGGAGGTTGGCCTCGTTGTATCGAGATCCATGTTTTCGGACCACCTGCCAGACCGCACCTTGATCGCCATGGAAACGGTAAGGACTGCGAGCGTGATGCCGTTTTGTTCATTTGAAGTGACGCACGGCTGGAGGTGGGTCCGACGGAGGAGGAGGAGGAGAAGGAGGAGCCCGCAGACCCGTAATAGCAGCAGCAGCAGCAGCAGCAGCAGCAGCAACAGCAGCAGCAGCAACAGCAGGGACGTTGATACCTATGAGGAGCCCGTCTCCATTTTGTGCTTTTGTAACTTGTATCCACCATTTGTGATCACCTGCTTTCTGCGCCCTGTTTCTTTGTCGCGGTGTACAGCCCAGCAAATCGACTCCCTGCCTCATTTGGCAGCTCTGGGAGTTTTCGTACACCTCCAGTTCCGCCGCCGCCACCGTGCGCATATCCTTGCTTAGCCGTGACCTGAGCTGGCCGACCAACTGATACCCAACTGACCTCCAACTGTTCCACAACTGCCCTAACCTGATCTGATCTGAACTGTCTTGCAGGCTCTTCATCAAATGCGTGGGGCCCCGGCTGGATCTGCGGCTGGTGGCCGTAGTAGCACTAGCAGTAGCAGTTGCTGCTGCAGACGGATCAGCGGGCGGGAGGATGAGCCGCCCCATGGCACTGGCAGCCCCAGCCGTCACAGTTGCTGTTGGTGCTGCTGCTGTGGTGACAGTGGTGGTGATGGTGGTAATGGTGGTGGTGCTGGTGGTAGTAGTGATAATGGTGATGGTGGTGGGAGGCCTCCGGGAAGTCTCCTCACAACGGGAGCTTTGAAGGGCATTCCGCGGAACCCGACAGCTCACATATCGTCACGGGCGGCAGCTGCGGAGCTTCCTGCTTGAGAGCAGTGCGCGACGGCAAGCGGATCGGCACTTGGGCGACGCTGCAACGGCGGAGTAGCGCTGGCGGAGGTCAAGGCTAGTTTTTGCGGTGATGATTTTATCCTGCTGGTCTCCTCCTCCTCGTGATTCATTCATAAGGAGGGGTGTCACCTGTGTATCGCGCACGTTCGTTGTATGTGATCGCAAGTCAAGAAAACATGTCTTGCACCCGTGTCTTGCGATGCTTGTTTTATCCCGGCTCGGACATGGGTTTCATCTTCATGGCTTTAGGAGCACAATAGGCTACCAAGTGTTGACTAGGTTGCGCGTACGGATTGTGATCCATCATATTACATGTACGACATTGCTCTTCATGCGAGCGTATGTTGGGCAGCAGCGTTGGGGGGCATGCATGGCGCCAAGTGAACACCCGCACAGTATTTATTTGTTTTTTGTATCCTTCCAGTATTAGGAATCCTCTGGGGTTGAATTTGGCATGCCTCAGTCCCCAAGCAGCACTGGTAATTTCATTGTGGACAAAGGAGCTTTTTTTTATTCGCCCCGGAATTCCCCGGATGGGGAGGACTCATTTTTCTTAAAAAGACAATCCAAAAATGCATCATATGACATGTCGCCTCTCCAATGTTTATTATTTGTCCTGTTGGGCAACAATATTACTGTTTGTGATGGTCTGTATTAACGTTGGCGTTACTGTACGAGCAGAGGGCGCGCTGAGAACTGCTGCTACGAAAGCTTTCCAGTACTTACATCTGCATCACATGATAACCTGGCTTCATGCACACCACCTAGTACATGTCGTTGTTGTATTCTGGGCACATCACGGAATCTACATCCGCCGATCGATGCTTTTCTGAAATCGTGGTATAACAGTCGTCCCGGAGCCATACGGCCCCCGAGGCAACGAATCTTGGGAACATAGCTGCTGCAGTGATCGCGGCCCTTTAAGAAACGAGGGTTACTTGCGAAATGTGTTCCCTTGTCCATTAGTGGTGATGGACGGTGAAGGGCTCGGTTGTTGTGGCCCCACCCGTGCATGTGCATCCATATCCGCACGTCCCTTCATAACGTTCCCCAGCTTTCCTTGCACCATCCTGGTTGTCAGCATCATTCTCTCTCTCCTCATCACTATAACACGACATCATAATACCGGCGAAACCTTGCGCAACACGAGTGTCATGTTTACATATACATGTTTACAAGGGAACACACATGTATATTTACAACAGAACACCACATGCGCACTCTGGACGGTTGCGCCTCCTGCTGCTGCTACAGCGCTGCTCCTGATACTTTGTCCTGTCAGAGAGAGCAAAACTACCTATCGGGAATAGATCAACGGTAGTAGCAGCCAAATTGCACGGATATAAAATGAATCTCAACCAAACTGCTCCTGCCTTATCTGCTACCCTAGTCTCAGGACGCTGAGTTCGAACCCCCACTGGCGCATTCCTGTTCTTGTCGTTGATGATATCCCCTTCCCTCCCCCGCCTCTTCAAGCACATCGCACTGCCCCCTACCCGCACCACCCTCCACCCCACTCGCTCTCCCCGGTGGCGGCTCCTCCTCCTCCGTCGCCGCTCCCGCTCCAACGTCTCCCACCCCTTTCCGAGCTCCCGAACCCCCCCTCTGCTGCTCCACAGATGGTCCCCCAAGAGCCAACACCACCTGCTGCTGCTGCTGCTGCTGTTGCTGCTGCTGCTGGTTTTCGTTTTGGGACGCCTGAACCCCCCTCTTCCCCTCCCCCATTCCCTTCCCCTGCAGGTCTTCCCTCCCTTCCGGGGACCCGGCCCCGGACCCGGCCCGGTGCTTCCCCGTCAGCAGGTCGACCACCTGATGCGCCAGGTCCGTGAGGTAGTGGTGGTACGGGTCGGGCTCGTCACCGGGTTTCGGAGCCTCCTCCCTCAGCCGCAACTGCAGCCCGGCGACGGCCTCCAGCGCGCCGCTCTCCCGCAACACCGCCAGCACTGCGGCGCTGTCCGCCAGCCGCTGAATCAAAAGCAAGGCCTTCTCCTGTACGTGACGCAGCAGCAGCATCGGCAGTAGTGGCAGTATCTGAATCAATAAATCTTGATCAATGCAAGGAGGCCACCATGACCTCCCCAAGGAGGCAGCCCCTCCCAGCCCTCACGCACTTGCATGTCGGCGTCCGGCTCACTCAGCAAGGCTGCTACAGCCTGTGGTAGACCGGCTGTGGTGGCGGCAGTAGCCAGGGCGGACAGCGGGGTGGAGGGGCCCCCTGGAGCCCCCCAGTCGGGACCGTCGTGGGTGTGGGGGTATTCGCTCGGGGAGGAGGCCTGCAGGACGGAGTGCGGGGTCACGTGTCAGGGGTTGCGACTCCACACCGATGTGCGGGAGGTGGCCACTGATCTCGCTGTCTTTTCATCAAAACTACTCGTCGCCTTCACGCGACTTTTTCGAAGCGCCCACTCTTCCACATCGCCTTCATCTTCGTAATCAAGCCTTATAATCCTTGCCGCCGACGTTGAGTCAACACGAACCCGGACTGTTGCAACACCCCCTCTCCGCCTTTTGGTCAGTTCTACTCCTGGTACGCTCTTGCCCTGGCAGCACCTTCACTCGTTCGTGGTTCGTCTTTCCCCCCTCTCCGCCCTCCCCTTTCCCTCCAAATGCCCAACCGGGGCCCCCCCCGGGGGCCCCCCCCGCTACCCACATCAACAGAGACCTTAGCGCCGTCCTCAGGATGGGGGTGATGATGCAGTGATCGCATGTGGGGTCCACTGCCTCCACTGACCCCCTCCGGCCCCCTCCCCGCGGGGGGTGGTGGTGCTGCTGCCGTTGCTGCCGTTGCTGCTGCCGCGGGCTGCGTGTCGATCAAGTCCATAAACAAGCTCAAAGCCTTGCGCTTCACGCGCGCTGAAACACCCTCGCCACGTAGCAGCAGCCCCAGAGCTCCGAAACCGTCTTGAAGGCCAAACACAATCGATCATGCCGTACACGCCGCGTGAGAAGGTCCACGTATGTGCAGGTATGGGATGGCGGTCCAGCCGATCCCACATGCGACACCCAGGAAGACGGAAGGGGCGGATGGGCGAAAGAGACGCTGACGTGTTATGTACAAATCAGCACCGTGACCGTTGTGGTTTCACACACACCAAAAGAACCGCCTCCCCGATCCCCCTAATGCGCGGTTGTAGGTCGTTTTGTAATGTCGCTCGGCCCCCTGAAAAGGGCCTTATAGCCCTTGCGGGGTCTGCTCCCCTCCATAGCCCCTCCTCCTCCTCCCCCCACCCCCTCCCGCCCTTCACTGGTCCGTGGTTCGCCATTCCCCTCCCTCCCTCTCCTCGTCCCCCTGCCCACCCCCGCCACCTCCAACCCCGCCCACCGGCTTCAATAAACGCCCTTCTGGCCTCGGGCAGGTTCCGTACAAGTGCCGCCACCGCATACAGCCCCTTCCCGGCCGCCTCATGATGACGGGAGCGGGACACCTGTGCCGTGGCCAGGAGGGGCCAGGACGGGACAAGGGGGGGGGGAGTGGAGAGGAGGGTTTGCAGGGCCCAGTAAGGGTGGTTGGAACCAACTGTGAGCGCGCTTGTGGGCGCTTCATGTGATGAGCACGCTGATGGCGGGGTCTTGGTGTACGGCTGGTGATGAGTACGGCTGATGTTGATGCTCGGACTTCCCCTCTCTCTCACTCCGCCACTGGCCCCCAACCCACACCACCACATCACCACATCAGCCTTCACCTGCAGCAGTGTTTCCACGATACCGGGGTGTCCGGACAGCAGGTGGCGCTGGAAGGTGGGGTTGTTGGAGGCGGCGGTGCCTAGCACGTGGGCGGCTGCCGCGGCCACCTCGGGTGACCCACGGGTCAGTTGGGTCACCACTGCGGAGATGCCGCCCAGAGGGTGAAGATCTGGTAACATCCATCCGGAGCGGATGCGGGGTGCGGGGTGCGGGATTCAGGAGGGGCAGGGGGCCCGTGCTGCGGTTGAGCGGTTGAGGAGAAGGCGTGAGTACATGTACAGGTGACGTCATCACCGGGGTGGGAAAAAGGGATTCCCTTTAAGGGAAACGAAGAAACACACACACACACGGATATACATACATACGTACATACAGGACACGAACATATGTCTTCACAGCGCCAAGTTTCCCTCCTCTTCGCGGCGTCCGTCGCTTTCGACCTTCAACTTAAGCACCGCAACTAGCTGGCAACGAGCAACCGACAACCAGCAATTTCCAGTGCTAACCGTTGGCGTTATCAATCGGCTCCACCAGCACCTGCAGCGCCTGCAACGCCGCCAGCAGCTCAGTGTCTGAGGCACCCGCGCGCTGAAGGATCGCGATGCCCTCCTGCGGGGTGAGTGAAATAGTTAAAGAGGAGCATGATAAAGAAGTACGGCAAGCAGTACGGCAATTCGGTAGCTGTCAGTTTTCTGCATTGACACAGTCAATCAGGCCCCTTTCCGTTCCATTCCCTTCCATTACAGACAACCCTTAACGACCGCCACGTGGTGCCAAACCGCTCCAACCGCTGCCCACCTTCATCATATCGGCTTCCGTCGGTTGGGATCGCACGTGGTCCAGTAGCTATTGTGTACGGCAGCAGTGGTGATGGCGGCGGCGGGGGCCCCGGAGAGGAGGAAGGGGGGGGGGAGGAGGGGGTTAGCGGGTGCCGGGTGCCCTGGCTCGTCAAGGCCCCCTTCAGGGCTAAGTCCTACGTGGGGCGCCTACATCTAATGAGGTGGGGGTAGAGAGCTGAGCAGGCCGTGGGCTCCGGGAGGGGGCCTGTAGGGGCATGGACTTACGGATGCTAATGTGGGTGGCGTATGGGGGCCCAATCAAGGAACTCTAATAATACAAAGGAAGTTAAAAGCAGGCAAGCGGAGTACAAAGGGTCAACAACTGTCTCAGCGCCTTGTTCCCCGA